CTCTCTCTCTCTCTCTCTCTCTCTCTCTCTCTCTCTCTCTCTCTCTCTCTCTCTCTCTCTCTCTCTCTCTCTCTCTCTCTCTTCCATAAAGGGTTAACCCTTTGCACTCGAGTGGTGTCTCCGAGGCACCGCGAAAATAGTTACACCACGTTCCAAGATAATTTTTATAATAACTAAGCTTACGTATATTAAGAATTGTTAAAAGTCTTAACTGTTGTACGAGTCACAAGACCCAATTTCATATGCATAAAATGCACTTTGTCATTAGAATGGAAATACCATAAGTCGGGAAAGTTCATTTAAATTTACAATTAATATGGCTTCGAGTGCGAAGGGTTAACACGCGAAAATGTAACAGTATTTACGGCGTTCGAATATTTTTATCAGCGAAGCTCGGTGCTTATTTCAAATAAAATAAATACATTGTAAATACTGCATACATACGATTGGATTATTTTCTAATTTTATTGAAACAATCTTGGGATTTCCCTCTTGCTATAACTAAAATATTAACATGTGAAAATGTAACAATATTTACGGCGTTCGAATATTTTTGTCAGCGAAGCTCGGTGCTTATTTCAAATAAAATAAATATGTTGTAAATACTGCATTATTTTCTAATTTTATTAGAACAATCTTGGGATTTCTCTCTTGCTATAGGCACAAAATTGTTTCAAACATTTCGCATTAACATACATATTTCATTAAAAAAGAAAAAGAAAGCTAAAAAGAAAGAAAGAAATCTAACCGTTCGAATATTTTTATCAGCGAAGCTCGCGCGTTGCTTATTTCAAATAAAATAAATACGTTGTAAATACTGCATACATACGATTGGATTATTCTCTAATTTTATTGAAACAATCTTGGAATTTCCCACTTGCTATAGACACAAAATTGTTTCATACATTTCGCATTAAAATACATATTTCACTAAAAAAAAAATGAAAGCTAAAAAGAAAGAAAGAAATCTAACCGTTCGAATATTCTTATCAGCGAAGCTCGCGCGCGCGCGCGCGCGGTGCTTATTTCAAATAAAATAAATATGTTGTAAATACTGCATTATTTTCTAATTTTATTAGAACAATCTTGGGATTTCTCTCTTGCTATAACTAAAATATTAACACATAAAAATGTAACAATATTTACGGCCTTCGAATATTTTTGTCAGCGAAGCTCGATGCTTATTTCAAATAAAATAAATACGTTGTAAATACTGTATACACATGATTGTATTATTTTCTAATTTTATTGAAACAATCTTGCGATTTCCCTTTTGCTATAGGCACAAAATTGTTTCAAACATTTCGCATTAACATACATATCTCACTAAAAAAAAGGAAGCTAAAAAGAAAAAAAGAAATCAAACCGTTCGAATACGTACTTTCGTTAGCCACTGTAACGTCAATTCGCGTCGGATCGGTCATTTCCTTCGGGCGTGATTCGATCAATGAAATAGGTGAGCATCATTATCCAGTTACATATATCCCGTGCCGTTCCGACCCCGCGCGGAACCGTCCCGGAGATTCTCTTTCCGCCGTGGTAATTGCGAAACGCCGAATCGGAAGGCCATACACGGGGCACAATTGGAAAACGGATCTCCCGTTCGGCGTAGCGCGCCTTGTCTTCCCTGAGAAAATACCCATGTGACTGACTTTAACGCGTGTGAATGGTTACGGTTTAGAGACTCGGCGGCTGGCCGCGTGCATGCGCGCGTAAACGAAAGCTCGAGCGGATAAGATATACGCGCGCGGGTCTCGGGTGGCGTCGCGGCGTGCCTAGCGAGACGGGCCCAGAGAAAACCCCGTTATCTCTGGAATACTAATTCCCGCAGGAACGGCACCGGCAGCACGCCGGCGATACGGTTGTGTGTGCCAACGTCACTTTTCGTTATTATTGGATTGGCGGCAAAGTAATTTCGGTATTTCAAATGTGAAATAATTGACAATTTTTTTCTATGCAAGAAAGGAACTTTAATCGGTCAAATATTCTCCATTCTGTTCGATTACCTTTTGCCTTTATTTCTGGTAACTTCGTGATTCCGCGGTCATAAAACTTCTGGTCCTTACATCGGTAAAAAATCTCGATCAAGTGCGATTCGAGGCTATCGTTATTATTATTAAAATTATTAAATTGAATTGAATTGAATCGAATCGAATGGAATAAAATTGAATCGAATTGAATTGAATTGAATTGAATCGAATTGAATCGAATTGAATCGAATTGAATCGAATTGAATCGAATGGAATAAAATTGAATTGAATAGAAGTGGATTGAATTGAATGGAATCGAATAGAATAAAATTGAATCGAATTGAATTGAATAGAATCGAATGGAATAAAATTGAATCGAATTGAATTGAATAGAATTGAAACGAATGGAATAGAATGGAATAGAATGGAATACAGTGGAATAGAATGGAATAGAATGGAATATAATGGAATACAATGGAATCGAATAAAATAGAATGGAATTAAATTGAATCGAATGGAATTGAATTGAATTGAATTGAATTGAATGGAATAGAATAGAATCAAATGGAATAGAATGGAATAGAATGGAATAAACTTGAATCGAATTGGATTGGATTGTATAGAAAATAATCGATTCGGTCGGAAATCAACGCGGTACTTTCTTCGCGGGACTCGATGACGGGCGCGCGAGAAATCACAATCGCACGTGGTTGCGGCTCCATCCGCGGCGAAGAAGGTCATGGGTCGACGAATTTTCTAGACGTGCGCTTTCCCTGGTCCGGTCTAGCAACCTTGTCGGCAGAGAGACCGCCGCGCCGGTTTTCTCCGTGATCCGCCGTGAAACGCCGATCTCGTTAGAAGGGAACATCCCGATGAGATTTCCCGTGAACCTAGCGTGACCCCCGCACCGTAATTGATGGCACCGAGCGCGGGGAGAACGCGACCGTCGTCCGCACGGTGAAACTAATATTCGATTCGCTTCCAGGCTCCACGGCTCCTACGAGGCGCTCAAGTATGGCACCCTATTGGACGGTTTGTCGGATCTCACGGGAGGAATCACCGAGAGCATCGCGATACGACAAGACCCCACCGCCTGCGGAAGGGCCCTCGCCAAGCTTCTCGATATGACGTCCCTAATCACCTGTACAGTAAACAACAATCAGCAACAGGTAAACCATTTGCCACTGTACGATGATTGTACGACGTTCGCATGGCTATCGGGCTGGACTGTTGTTTCGTCGACGATCGTTCTAACTAGAAACGATATACAGGGTATCCCAAAAATGTCTCGCAATCCGAAAGTGGCGGGTTCCTCAGGTCATTTGAAGCAACTTTTCCCTTTACAAAAATTTTCTCCGAGGCACCGTTAACGAGTTATTAACGAAAAACAGTGACCAATGAGAGGCGAGCTCGGCTGGCGCGAGGCGACCGAGCCAATGAGCGGAACCGGGCTTCGTGCGCTGGTTGGCTGGGCCGCCTCGCGTCAGCCGTACTCGATTCTTATTGGTCACTGTTTTTCGTTAATAACTCGTTAACGGTGCTTCGGAGAACATTTTTTTAAAGGAAGAAGCTGCTTCAAACGATCCGAGGAACCCACCATTTCCGGATTGCGAAACATTTTTGAGACACCCTGTACAGTTGCTGATTGTCAACGATTATAGAAAACAAGGTCGAAGGCTCGAATAATCGCATCTTCTCTTCCCGAATGGTCCATTTTCGTTTACAAAGTGAGGGACAATTAGGGAGAATTTACTGTACATTGGAAGGACAAAAATACATTAAAGAAACAGAAATATATTGAATGAACGGAAATGCATTCAAGGTTATTTAATTAATAACTTTTTGAGGTTAACAAACTTTGGTTCAGAAGTGTAGAAGCTTTGGGGTTAAGTTGTTGAATAAAGATACAGCAAAATTTCCCTAATTGACGATCAGATTGTGCACAAGAATGGACAATTTGGAAAGAGGAGATGCGATTATTCGAGTCTCGCGGCTCGTTTTTATAATTGTTGACTATCGGTAACTGTAAGATAAATATATAATAATATAATAAATATAATAATAAATAAATAGTATAATAAAATAATCGTATCTCCTGTGGCGGCTGCATCCTGATTTGCCAGCAGATGGATTCTCCTTTCCTGCACGTAACCGATCTGCCTCAGTTTTATACAAACTTCTCCGTCCTTCCGACATTCCAACAACTTCCGTCCATTTCTGTTTACATGTTGAGCTGCAGTTGGAGAGAATTTACTGTATCGAAACCGTATACAGTAATTCTCCCTAATTGACCCTCGGCTTGGAAACGAAAGTAGACAGTTTAGGAAGAGGAGGTACGATTATTCAAGCCTCGGGGCTTTTTTTTAGTTCCAAAATAATTTTCAGATCGCCAAACTTGTCTATATTTAAAAAGCTGTTAAAGGGTCGCGTGCGTCGCAAGACTCAATTTCATTTGCATAAAAATGCACTAATCACGGAAAATGGAAACACCGAAGAACAGACAGAAATACATTAAAGGAACCGAAATTGAAAGAACAGAAACGCGCGTTAAAGGTTATTTAATTAATATCTTTTCGAGGTTAACAGACTTTGGTTCAGAAATGTAGAAATTTTAGGGTTAAATTGTCGACAATCGGTAATAAATTGTCCATTTTTGTGTACAATCTGAGCGTCAATTAGGGAGAATTTACTGTTGCCATAATCATACATAATACATAATATAATAATACATCTCGACCGCTCGTGAAATGCCGGATGATTAAAAATAGTCATTTCCCAGATCGCTCGTGAAATGCAATTCAACATAAAAAGTCCAATCATAATATTTATTTGCGTAATTGAATCTAAAGGAAATCTATTTCGATCGAAGCAACGTATCTCATAATTTCATTCAAACTGTCCGACATTTTATAAATTAACATCCATTTCCGTATCCTCGAATTCAGGTGTATTACGTGCCAAAATTTTTCTAATTCAACAGAATCGATTAGAATTTGGCTGACACGATCGTGCATAACCGTTGCATAACTTATTCTACCGCTATAAATAAATCGCTGAACTTATAGATAAGACGTTAAATTACGCCATTGAGGCATGAAAGATACGCGTCTGAAAATATGTATAAACGTTGTCGCAATGTTTTGGATACACGACCCGTTTTATGTTTTCGCGATTTTGCCTCCGTGATAACCCAGTGTAATCGATGCTCTTGATAATGTACGTCGTCGGGGCCGCGCGCGCGCGTATAGCTGGATTTACATACTCGCCTCATTGAAAATAAAGTGTACAAATTAGATTAGATGAAAGTATCGCGTGTATATACGTATATAATATAAAGTATACGCATTTTTCCAGAAACGATACAACTTTAATCTACGATTATCTCCATTACTTTGACAGCTTTTTTTTCGTTCAAAAATTTACCGAATTACATGCAAATAATTTATATATTCTTTGTAACATTATTGCACATCAATAATATTCGTAAACAATAGCTAATATCATCATAAAAATTGTTCTAGAAACACGTCGTCGAGAAAATATTTTTTATATATTTTTATATACTTTTATTTCATTTAATAGCCAAGTAATGATATAATTCTGATAAAATATATTAATATATTTTATCAATATATTCTATAAATATAATACTTTATTAATATATTATATAAAAATATAATGCTTTATTCATACATTTTATAATTATAATATTTTATAAAAATATATTTTACCGATATAATATTTTATTAATATATTCTATAGCCATAATATTTTATTACTATATTCTATAAATATAATACTTTATTAATAAATTAATATATAATTATTTTAAAATAATACCGAGCTATAAGATGATTTTCCAGTTATTGCATTCAGGCAACGCTTGATTTCCATATCATTCCGATCGTTCTCTTATCGCCTTGCGACGATCGTATCGGACCGCGACTAATTTTAAAAGTATCGGATTAATTTAGTCCACACACAAACTTGACAGACTTCGATCAAACTCGCTCAGGGTCGAGGTACGCTAACCAGAGTAAGGACACGTGCCAGGAGACCTCTTGACCTGGACACCCAGGGCCAAGATTCCTGGGATAAATTTGGTTTCCTTGGCGTTAGGTTGGTACAATTTCAGTCTCTCGGTCCTCAATGTTTCTGGTCCAAGTTTCTCGGGCTTAATTGATCGAATTCGGGTTAAACGTGTTTCTGCGACTGTCCGACCGGAGAGGACTCCCAAGCCCGAGCGAGTTTAGTTTGCTCGATGTCTGTTATCCTTCCACCCAAACAAGCTATGACAACTTATGGTACGACATTTCAGCCTCCCCGTTACCATAGTTCATTCTATTGCTGTTCATTCAACCTTAGTATTAACCTGGACAATTCTTTGTTCGTCTAGATTCGAGCCAGCACGGAAAAACTTGCGAACGGCATTCAAATGGGCATCAACTATAGACTCTATGCTATCGTGAGGGTGAGTGCGATCAATAGAGAACGTAATCACAGAATGTACCAGACCTCCTACAGTTCCTTTAAAACTGTTAAACCGACTATACAGGGTGTCCCAAAAATGTCTCGCAATCCGAAAGTGGCGGATTCCTCAGCTCATTTGAAGCAACTTTTTCCTTTACAAAAATTTTCTCCGAGGCACCGTTAACGAGTTATTAACGAAAAACTGTGACCAATGAGAGGCGAGCTCGGCTGGCGCGAGGCGACCGAGCCAATGAGCGGAACTGGGCTTCACGCGCTGGTTGGCTGGGCCGCCCCGCGTCAGCCGTACTCGATTCTTATTAATCACTGTTTTTCGTTAATAACTCGTTAACGGTGCCTCGGAGAAAATTCTTGTAAAGGAAGAAGTTGCTTCAAATGATCTGAGGAACCCGCCATTTCCGGATTGCGAGACATTTTTGGGACATCCTGTATGTGACGCAAGAATCAAGCGACGACGAGTATACTCGTCGAACACAGTGTAAGCGTCGCTGTTAAAATATTGAATTAAACAGACGGTTTTATTTTATAAAATTAACAATTTTTTCTCCGTGACGAGTATACTCGTCGTGACACAAAATACTGCTATTTCTCCGTGACGAATATACTCGTCGTGACACAAAATACTGCTATTTCTCCGTGACGAGTATATTCGTCGTGACATAAAATACTGCTACTTCGCAGTGACGAGTATATTCGTCGTGATATAAAATACTGCTATTTCTCCATGACGAGTATATTCGTCGTGACATAAAATACTGCCACTTCTCCACGACGAGTATATTCGTCGTGACACAAAATACTGCTATTTCTCCGTGACGAGTATATTCATCGTGATATAAAATACTGTTATTTCTCCATGACGAGTATATTCGTCGTGACATAAAATACTGCCACTTCTCCACGACGAGTATACTCGTCGTAACACAAAATACTGCTACTTCTCAATGACGAGTATACTCGTCATGACTCAAAATACTGCCACTTCTTCATGACGAGTATACTCGTCAAACACAGCTAACTGGTTCAATCGATCTTCTCGAGAGTTAAACATTTCATTCTGTCCCTAAAAAATCATAAATGTTCTTTTGACTCTCTTCAAAAAATTGTCTAAAGATTGCTATATCGTTACTAATGAATAGATTATAATCTTCTCCGGTACCGTGCAAAGTATTAACAGTGAAATAATTGTAAAATGCAAACGATGTAACTAAATTGCGCCCGTATATGTACGCCGGGAAAGTAATGCCTCCCTCGGCCGTGAAAATGGCATTGTCTTAATTCGTGCGCGTCGGCGCTATGTTGCAATTGCGTAAAATGCAGGTGGAGACATTCAGCGGCGAGGCAGTCCCGTTAGTAAAATTAAGAAATCCTCTTGGTCCTGGTGGGGAATACGTCGGCGCTTGGGCAAGAGGTGGCCTCGAATGGGATGAAATACCGCCGATGGAAAGGGAACGTTTAGCGGTCAGAAACATGGCCGAAGGGGAATTCTGGTGAGTGAAACGATTTTTTTTTTTTCTTTAAGTGCTATCCTTCTTTTCGTACATGTCGTCTACAGACCTCGATCTTCTCTCTACGCAACTTCTTAACATTGTTATTCTTCTTCAACCCTTGTACGCGGGCAATTCGATGTACAAGTAATTTTGAGGCGTTGTTATTTAAGATTAATAATTACTACGAATCTTTATTTTCAATCTAGGAATAATAATTACTACGAATTAATATTTCCAAAAAAAAACGATAAAAAGTTGTTAAAATATTTTAACTAGCGATTGTTGTATGCAGCATCCGCTTGCAACAGTGTTCCACAGATTTTTCATCAGCTGAATTGATGATGTTCAGTGGGTGTTTGCAATCTTAACCCTTTGCAGTCGAGTAGCACCGCTCAAAATTGTTACATCATGTTTCAAAAGAATTTGAACAGTATCGAGTTTAAAATTGTTGATACTTACAATTGAGCCGTTTATTTTGAAAGTGGCATAAGTCACTTTTTCAAAAAAAATCGAGTTAATGGTAACACTAATTACAATTGAACGGTATCTTTTCATTTAAAAAAAAAAAAAGAAAAAAGTGACTTATGCCACTTTCAAAATAAACGGCTCAATTATAAATATTTTCATGAAATACTTACTGTATAATTTTAAAAACTGTTAAAAATGTAACAAAAGTGTCGCAAAATTCAGTCATAGAACCACCAGGTTGTGTGAAATGGAAATATTATAGGTCAGAGGAACTAATTCGGATTTCAAGTTAAAAAGCTCCAACTGCAAACGGTTAAATGTGGTCCAATTGTGAAAATATGAATTCGTGCCAAATAGCTTCAGAAACGTTTCAAATCTCGTTCATCGATTTCGACGAATTGATTATCTCGGCGAGCCGATATACAGGGTAGGGTAGACTTTATTTGAATCGTGTCCAGGATAAATAATCGACAGGGGATGCGAACTAATTCTGTCGATTAACTTGCAGGATATCCTACTCGGACTTCGTGAGAACGTTCACTCACCTGGAAGTCGTACATCTTGATGCCGAAACGTCGAGGGATGAGCCATCGTTGCACAGCAAACATACTTGGCAAATGAAACTCTATCAAGGCAGTTGGAGGAGAGGCGTTACCGCCGGAGGATGTCGAAACAATCAAGGTTCGTTTTACGGTTCACCCCAATGAATTGGACACCCGGATGCTTGTTATTGCAGGACGCAAATGACCATCGATACGCGTCTACTAACGATACGTATTTTTTGCTTGCAGAAACTTTCCACATTAATCCGCAGTTGCATCTGATACTCAGCGAGATGGAGGAAGTAATCGTTTCGTTGAACCAGCACTCCATCATGGAACCGAAGGCAAGAATTATTCCTTGAAATATTGTAAATATCCTGGGGAACAATCTAACAGAGTCTTCTATATAAGAACTGTACTCGTTAAATTAATTATTATTATTATATTTATTTTTTTGATAATTAATTGTTATTAATTATTAACACTATGCCATCCGGTGGCACCACGCTGGTGCCATTTTAAAAAGCTGAAATTACGTTTGAATTATATTTCTTGGGTGTTAAAAGGCAGCAAACTAACTATAGCATTGTGCTTATTTAACTAAGAATTAAGTACGAAAATTCTTGGATGACGTATCTTAATTTTAGCAATTTATAATTATCATCTTCGACATTTTTTTTTAAATCTAAAATTTCCAAGCTATTATGCCGGGCGTCAAACGAAAGAATCATATCTAAGATCTGCGGACGACATAGTGTTAATAATAATTTTGTTTTATGTATTTATGTAACTTTTTTTATTTATATTATATCATGTTTTATGAGATTAACACTTTAATGGTCGAATGACAAATGTCTCTTTCAGGTGATAGGCTTCACAGCTTATACGCTGCCTAAGAACAACACGGAATCGATAAATAGAAAATTTTTTAAGAAAAACAAGTCCCTAGTGAACTCGCAATACACGAACAGCCGGCAGGTGAGCCACAGGTGTCAATTGGAACAGGGTGGCTATTTGTTAGTGCCGACTACGTTCGAGCCGACGCAGGAAACGAGTTTCACGTTGCGAGTGTATAGCAGTAAACCGTTGGAGCTCAAGTAAGCACATAAAATATTATCCGTCGCTGAAGCAATTCTAAAAGCTATCAGAAAAGACAGAGATTAGAATTTATGCGAAATGGCGAGGACCATTTTCAGTAATCCAAGTTGGGGGGGACTCGCTAATCCAAGAGAGGGAGGACCATTTTCATTATTACGTAGAAAGTGAAAGATAATTTGTTATTTCGAGTGCGTCGAGATCGAAAAGCTAAGCTGATTAAAATTTCCACAGACTCCTCGACACCCCGCCGTCTTTGATGAAGTCGGCCATTGTGAAAGCGCCGCCCTTGGAAGGTAAAGGGTTCTCGCAGTACGAAGCTGTCTTCTTACAACTTGCTGACGAACACAGAACGGTGAACGCTTTTGAGCTGCAGGAGCTCCTCGAAGCTTGTTTACCAAACGGTAAGAAGATTAATCAGGAAAGTTTATTACGGGCAAGGTCTAACGGGTGATCAATTTACAGATTACATCAAGAGCTGCGCGTGCATGGAAGTTTGCCGGCAAGTGGTCCTCACAATGGACGTATCCTTGAGCAGAATTTTAATTTTTCAAATTCTAAAATTGCTTGTGAACTGCTAGCCTTGACCACTAGTGTTGTTATTAATATATTCCCCTCGTGTCCCGTTCTTATTTTCCTTAAGTGATTGTTGAACAGAGTTCCGGTAGCGGGCGATTAAAATTCAACGATTTCAAGGATCTCATGTGCAGCTTGAAGTATTGGCAGGCTGCTTTTAAGAAGCACACGAAAGAGAAGACTGGTATACTAAAAGCTGAACGTTTACGCGACGCTTTGTTGGAAGTTGGTAGGTTACTGTCTTGAAAGTCGTTTTGCGATTCGATTCGATTCAATTTAAAGCAAATGTTTCCCTTAGGATTTCAACTGAACACGGATGTGCTTTCCATTTTAATTCTACGATACATGAGAAAGGATGGAACGCTGAGATTCGGTGATTTCGTTTCGGCGATATTGCATTTGAGCGATGCGTTCGGTACGCGAACAAATCTTCATATTTCTGAACATAATAAATATTGCTCGTTCGATCAGTCGACATTATCAGTATTTTCAATATCGTTTCAGGTATATTCGAGAGCAAGGATCCTTTACAAAATGGAACCATAAAATTAAGCTTAGCAGAGGTCTGTATTATCTTATCATTAATACAAGATATTCTAATAAATGATCTTTTTTCATAACTGTTACGTATATTTTTAATTAAAAATATTTTCTATATCTTCCTTGAAGTTAAAATAATTGTTATGAATATTAACGAATGTTAAAAGAAATATGCGGCTTCCATGGAAGCAAACACTGATTTTATTAAAAAGATGCATCATTCGTCGTTCGTATATCTGACAATTTGATCGTAAGAAACTAAGATTTATTGTGTAATTTATCAAGTTTGTTTGTTGCAGTGGCTGAGATCGTCCTTGATGTGTTAAAACAATTACTCATCGCAACGTCTGTGTACCTTGAAACAAATATCTGTAAATAATGTTTGTTATGTCTATGTAGACCTAAGTTTTAGCCATATTAACGATTAACAATCGAGCCCATCGTTTTATTGCTGTTTGTAAAATACTATCATTTTTATCTCCATTAGCAATCATCATTCCATCATCCGATTAAACTTTCTAAAGTAACTATGTATAATATGTTGTTTGTATAAGAAATTCGTACTGCATAATAAATTTACCGTTATTTTGTACAGTCCCTTTATCCGAGACATAAATACTTATATCTAATTGTGTTTAATAAAGCAATAGATTTTAAACTGTAACTTATTAATAAACTATACACGCCTTTTTGCAAAATGCATTGTATGAATACGTCAATTAATTCACAGTGATAGAAGTTACCAATTGGAAAATTTATTTCGTGTTTTTTCAACTTTATTAATATCTTATATTATCGTAAATCTACAGTTCACTTTTAAATAATACGAAATATAATGTGTACATGAAACGTGCAATTGCAAATGTTAAATTCGAAAATAAAAAATAAGATCTGCCTCTAAACAATAAAAAATTGTGAGAACTTTTATTATTCCTTTCTGAATCTATACGTCCGACCATACTTAATGTCGAAATGTAAATTTATATCGAGAAGCCCAAAAAACACGTGCACCGTGCACCGGGCAATGACGGGCAAGAATAGATTCTCGTATAACCTCACGCGCAGGTGTGTGAAACGGTGTTCAATGTCCATTTCATCAATGAATACTTGATACAGTGACATTTTATGAAAATTATCGCTAATGTGGTTGCACGAACGCGCACAAACTACACAATTTATGGTTTTTGCAAGGTGATAGAAAGCAGTGCTTAGTGGGATCGTGTCACATCACATCAAATGACGTGGATATAGGTTAGGTTTCGCACACTGTTAGAACAGTTAGCTAAATCTTTCTCAAACACTATTATCAAAGTTATTTAAAAAAGCGTTAGACTGAAAGGAAATAACAAAAATGTTCGAGATCACAGACACACAGAGTAAGTAATCTATAATTTTTTGGTTTGCTAAAAAAAGTGGAGAAATATGACAAAATTTTGTATAGTACGATCGCAAACGAAAGTCAATTTCAAACGTTATAACAATATAATACTATTTGTAGAAATTGGAGTTGGACTCGCCGGTTTTGGAATATCCTTTCTTTTTCTTGGAGTGCTGTTGCTCTTTGATAAGGGTTTGCTTGCAATCGGAAACGTAAGAATTGCTCTTGCACATCTCCATAAATTTTCATAATCTGCTTTATGGTACTGCTTCTGAACTGATGAATTGTTTGTATACAGATCCTATTTATATCTGGATTAGCATGTGTCATTGGCCCAAAGAGAACCCTGAATTTCTTTTTCCAAAGGCATAAGATCAAAGCAAGCATTTCATTCTTAGGAGGCGTTATTGTAGTTCTTCTAGGTTTTCCTATTGTGGGAATGATAATAGAAACATACGGTTTTATATTATTATTCAGGTATGTATTTATAAAGCATCCGATCATTTAATCATATTTATTTAAATACTTGTATACATTTTCATTGTTATATTTATGTTACAGTGGTTTCCTACCAGTAGCAATAAACTTTTTACGAAGAGTACCTGTATTAGGTACGATTTTAAGTATGCCTGGCCTCAGTCGACTCTTAGACATGATTGCAGGAGACTCGAACAGGACAACCGTATGATGTGTTTCTTAATGTTACCGCTCAAAGAATGTATATAAGATTGTCTACTGTATATTGTGTCCCAAGATTTCCTATCATTCCTTATCAGTGTTTGTGGATCTCTTTTCTACTGTGTAAATATCACAAATAGATAACGCAACTCACTTATATACCAATCATTCAACTTAATGTTAAACTCATATAGAAATAATATATACATTTTTCATTTTCATATAAGACAAGCGTATTATAAAAATTGTATGTGCGTAAAAGCATTCCAAAAACTTCATACATAAGTTGAATGAAAATCAAAAATGAAATATGTATCGAAGGAGAAACATTTTCCTTATAATCATTAATTTGCTGTATCAGTGAATTAATGATACCACAAGTTTTGTGCTCTTTATTTGGTGTGTTTGTATTAAGAACTCAATGAATGAAACATATGTCTAATATATGCTGAATGTAATTATTCCTTTAAAGAATATACAATTTTACTACATAAGAATATGTGAGATACACTTGCTACTTTCGACTGCTTTGAATCATAAATCTCAGAATTTGCTATTTACTAAATCTACTTACTTATCAAAAGCGAAGTGTACTATAACGATATGAGGAAGAAAATAAAGCATCTTTTGAAATTTTAGATCATTTTTATTGATTCTGCCGTTTACTCTGCACGCATCCTAACATGAACAGATTAGATGCATGTGTATTGAGTAACGCTTCTCATTATCTTACACGTAGTTATTTGTAGTGCGAAATTAAATTATTGTTCACTGAAACTCGATGAACATCGCTGTTACCATGATCGTTTATTATTTATCTACAACGGGCCGAGAATAAGGGCAGGGGGCGGCCCAAGTCTACGCGCCCTGCCTTCGCCGTAATGATATTTCGTCGCGCGCCCTTCTCTCGCTCAATTGTATGTATACGCTCGTATTTTGGATACTTATCTTCACTACTTAGTGACCCAACCATCGTCTACTTGGTCACATGTATTAAACGTTTCATATGTCCATTATGCTGTTAATTTGCATCTTTAGCTCCAGATATATTTTGAATATATCTTGTCTTTTCTCCTCTTTTTTTTTGTGTGAAAATGGAATATGAAAATAGCACATGTGAACCGCTGCAAGAAAATACTGAATCCGGCAATAAATTAAGCGAATTCTCTTCTACAATCAAGATACACATTTCTGCCGAGTTTCATGCATTTCACAGGTTACTACCGAAACACCTCAGTCTGAATCGTTTCTGAATTTCTCGACAGTTGGTTAATGTTCTTGATAGTGATCCTGGGAATCACTTTGTCTGATAACTGCTTTCAAATCGGATGGTGAGGGTAATAAAGATGGTATTTTTGCAATTGTGATTGTGAAGGTAATGAGGTAAGGATCATTTCAACAGTTTAGAGGAGATTCTTAATTTCGTCATAAAGTACCAATACGAGCGCACCACCAGTACCACGGAGAACGTTTGAGAAAGCACCCTTGAAGAATGCGTTGCCACCTTCCGATTTGTAGATAGTGGCCCAGCAATGAAGAGTGCTCTTGTACAAAATTTCGGATTTAGCACGGCCGGACTGCATCATCATACGCCTACGTACTGTGTCAAATGGATAAGATACGATACCAGCGACGGTGGTTACGACCTATGGATAACGTAACGATAATGATTAGTACAAGAATTATAATTATACGAACAAACCTATAATAGATGGGGAGTTACTTACTTGAGCAATACCCCATGAGACAAGGAATGGTGTTTTCTTGGGGTCTGGCAGCATACCACGGGCAGTGTCATAGAAACCAAAGTAAGATGCACGGTAGATGATGATACCCTGTACCGATACACCGAATCCACGATATAGACCGGTAAGACCGTCAGTCTTGAAAATCTTTGTTAAACAGTTTCCAAGACCAGTGAATTCACGTTCTCCTCCAGCTTTGCCTACATCGGCCGCCAACCTAGAAATTATTGAGAGTGAAAGCGAGAGCGAGAGTGACTAAATAGGGGTTCAAACTAAGATCTTCTTTGGTGAAGGAAGAGTACCTGGTCCTAGCAAAGTCAAGTGGGTAGACAAAACAGAGGGAAGTAGCTCCAGCAGCACCACCAGATGCAAGATTGCCAAGGAAATAGCGCATAAACTGGGTGTTCTTGTCAACGCCGCCAAGGAAAATTTGCTTGTACTTGTCTTTGAAGGCGAAGTTCAAAGCCTGAGTTGGGAAGTATCTGATGACATTGGCAAAGTTACCACGCCAGTAGCTCGCGAATCCTTGTTCCTTTGGAATGCGCACAAAACAATCGACCATACCTGAAATAGGAAAAATTATTTATATAGTTTCATGTATTTATTTTCGATGAATATAATTTTCATAATCAATTACTGAATTTGCAATAAATAAATTCAAATAGTTTGCCGTCAGTGTATTATTAAAGTATAAAGATAAGTCAAAATATCTATATACTTCATTTACGAAATTGATAGCACTGTATTTGAACTTATGTAATAAATCAATAATAGATATTAATTTTATATAAATTTCGAATTACGGACAACTTTGCTTTGAAATCTCGTGTCTCTTATAACAAAACAGCTAATTTTTAAAAAATTCATGGATTTCTAGCGGTTTTATGTAAAAAAACCACTTGAGATCACCAAGGTCAAGGAGCAATACTATTTTAGTAAATTTTATAACTTATATGTTACACGTATCAACGATATTACATTATCGAACGATTGACCTTAACAGATAATTTGTTTTAGCGATGACTATTGTGAAATTTGCAAAGGCATAATCTCGGCAACGTTCGTCAATCGAGTATCATGCTTGTATTCTGCACACGAATATCTGATTTTCTATCATTTTCCTGAAAGAAGAGGCAAATATTTTCTACATATTTATTCAATTTCTCATGACAGTAATATACCAAAACGGCTTATTATATTATGTCATTGTTAAAAATTGCAAGTTCAATTAATTCTACTTTGCAGCAGACAAGACGGCCATATTGAGCCGCACAGTCATCGATCGGCACACGGAATCCTGTCCAAAGAGCAAAGCCACGCGCTGCCATCTGGTAGGCGAGTCATCTTATCGAATATCGACCCGCTCGTTGTCAGAAAACCACGACTTCCCGTTCAATTGATATTGTAAAAGTTATGTAATACCCCAAAAGTTCGCGTTCGTTACATAAAGTCGGAAATTAGAGCGCTGGTAATGCACCCGGCTGATCGCTGCTAATGATATATAGTACGAAACGGCATTACATAACGGGAATCTCGCTCTAACCGTCGTCTACGACCAAAGCGAAATCGATTGGCACTTTTGGAATGTCGACACGAGAGAAAGAAATGCTCTAAACTGTCACATGTTTCGAACGACTATCGATCCTCTGGCGTACTACCACATTCAAATTTCGAACTTGTTACAATCGATATCGCTGCTGGTCGACAAATCGGTGAATCAACTTATAATTAATACCGGTTCTAACTCACCCTTGTAACGCTGATCCTCCGGGATTTGCTTGGAGATGTGCTGTACCTGCAGCAACAGCTTCACACGCTCGATAGGAGCGACCGTCGTCTTCGAGATAGCGGCGGCCACGCCGCCGGCTATGAAATCCTTGGCGAAGGCAACTGGATCCCCAAGACCAGACATTTTGTGTGTTGGGTGGTTTGGCGTGAGAGACGGGTTAATAAAAGGAAGAGGAGAACAACTCCTACGATTCGGACGCGCGCCGGACGACGAGTGAGCGAGGCAGAGTTCCTCTCGTTGAACGGACCTCCGCTAAGAATAGCTGCGCAGGTCACGTGCAGACTTCTGCGCAGGTTCAATCTTCTGGCACGACCGCACCTTGGGACCCTGACACCTTGTACACCTACAATGCGTACTCTGTTCCCGAATTCGTGACCTTTCCTCGGATGTCTTGCGACACCGGTCCCTTCCTGTTTCTTTTCACGGTCGCCGCACGTGTATCGGCTTGGTAAAATGCGTCCACGGACAGCCCTTTCAAAATTAGACGTTTACCCGCGCGTCTGACGCATTTCCGGTACAAGGCGCAGCGAGATTGTCGCTAGTGTCAAAGTATTCGAAATATGAAGGAAATTGGCGGGAATTCGTCGGAATCGCTGAACAGAAATATTTCGTTTCTTTTGGATCGCTTGCCACGTGACGATACGCATTCGTATTTTCCGTCGAGTTAAACGAGTCCGAATATCGATACAATTTATAAAAATTACAATATTTTCACTGTAATAATTGATTTTTCAAATCTACGAATTCTGTGGCGTCGTAAATTGAATCTTTATTCGAAAAATATTCTAATTAGTTCACTTTTGTGTAAGAAATATTATTTTTAATCGACGACGTACATTCCATTAAACGTTGTTTCGGAAGAATGATGGAACATATTCGAAATACCCGCGTCCGACATCCATCTTTGTTCATCCTCGTTTACCATCGAAGTACTGTTCTTACTTAGTTACCATACAGTTTCCTGCGAAATAAGTATTTTCAGTTATATTATTCTTAGGAATTATCATCGATAACCGCTAATTGCATCATTAAGACCTGAAAAGCATCGATTTACAATTGAAATTATTTATACATCAAGGTGATGTACATGAAATATATTTCGTGTAGTGCTGAAACATAGAACAGTCCATTTTGATACAATATTTACAGTCAAGGAAAGCTTTCTTTCTAAACAAAGCAAGAAAAGCACTGTCTCTGTGTCAAGGATAGGAGACGTAACCAAGATTCGTTCAATTTAATATCTGATTTGAGGTTAACATTTCTATATATATATATATATACATATACAGAGCATGTACATATTCCACCTAAATCGATCGAGTCGGTTGTCGGCTCGAGTACCCTTGCACCTATAGCCAGCATTGACCATAATCCAGGGCCGTGCGTGATGCATAAATTAAGTTGTTAGTTTCATGTGCCTCTGTCGATATTATTTTCCACGTTCCATTTAATCGTCATACGGGATGGTACATTGTAGTATGCGGCGTATAGGACAACGATATTTTACACGTGTCCACGAAACGATCGTCTTTGGGGTGGTTTCGAGTTTGCGCTGTCAAAGATACAAGAACGAGATACAAGGTCAATCTCTCGTGAAGAAGGAGGTCAACGGGGCGCGACTTGCGTAACCCTGGCGTTCGGCCAGTATGTTAGGGAACAGAACGCCAGAGTTCAATGGAGTAACTTCAAGTAAGGAGTATTTATACATCTTGAAGAAACGTACATACGTGGCGGACCTTGTAGAGAATAGACTAACTCTAAATGCGTCCTCTGTCTACGTCGGGTATCTCACTCGTGGCGCGTGCAACCATTTGTCATGAGAATCAATGAAATGTAATGGACTCGACTTAACGCGCTAACCGCGACACTTCGTTGTAACGACCTTTGCACGTCCATCGTTGTAACGTATTTACGAACACCTCGATTTTTATCCATCGCAACTCCCATATGAACTTCCATACGAAATTTACAAAATAGTTTTTAGTTATAGATTCGACGAGAAGAACGGTTTCATTATGCTTTGTGGTCGTACGTATTGTACATCCTGTTTCCAATTGGATGAATAAGTAGAGATTAAGAAGAAAGCAGCGCGGTAAGCACGGAACGTGAGTGCGTCTAATGATAATTATGATTCTTATCGGTACTCTGGTGTACAGTGTACGGTGTCAGTTTACTCGAAAGGTGGGCTGTGAAATACGTACAACCATAGTACAGTATCTAGACGTTCACAGAGGATATTGTTATCTACTTTCTATATATTAAAATGTTGGTCTAAAATCAATGACCCCGCTATATCATTACAATACCGATTTACTTTTATTCATTCATGTGAACGTCTGTAGATTGCACCAGGAAGTCCCATGGTTATCTGAAGACGTTTACACGTATCTGTCTTCTGATAACACTTACGCGAATATAATCGAAACCTCTTAGTTAGCGAATATAATATCTCCTGTTTTTCGAACGTGGCAAACGTGCTCGTTTGCTACGTAAAAGGAAATATCTTTTCTATCGTTTCTATCGTATCTGCATTTTCGACAAATATCTCGGCTTTTAACCGGTATTATGTAACGTTTACAAAGCTATCGGCTACAGTACTGTAATAGGGAAATTCGGGCATAAACTGCGACATCTATACGCATGGCCAAAGAGATGAAATAATAGAAGAAATTCGCAAGTTTCCTCGTTGCAACAGGATAATCTTCGTCATCGTATCGAAGGACATGTAATACCGCAACACACGATCTGCACAACAAACGTAGCATGTACGTATGTATGTATGTATGTATGTATGTATATTGGTCTTGTAACGCGGGACTCAAGTGTGCGGATTGGATTAAGTAACGACCTTGATGACGTAGGAAGTTGTCTCCGTCTGCACTAACTAAAGTCACGATGGTCAATGCACCTGAAAGCAGATCGAAGCGGTTCCATAGCTCGTACAAACGCACAGTATCATCGCTAAATAAGCACGAAATTGGTAATTTGGGAAGGAGAAAGATAGAGGCACACAATAAAAAAATGCGATTACAGTAATTATTATATGTACATTAGAGATTAATTTTGAGTACTTTCGTTGCATTTATCTTGCGGAAACAACCACCGCCGTTGGCGGAAAATTACACACTTTCGCCCTCGTTACCGATAAACAGCTGCATTATATAAAGATAAATATGACGTTGGACACTTTCTGTTGCTCAAGACAATGACTACAGAAAGTCGAATTTGTATATAACTATACTGTCTCGCTAAAGTAGCGAAGATTATAAACAAATATTGTGTTAGTAGGAAATATGTATATTGATGAAGCTGTTTATTCATTTCTGAGTCACCTTTGCCATGGACAATTGTTGACACCATGGCTTAACACTGCTTGATCATTTTGCATCATTTATGTGTACGTACTACTCCTACAAAGGAACAAAAATTTATCCTTGTAAATATCAAGTTAATCAGCATAACTACCAAACTTCCAATAGAGTAGGCTAATGTAAGGTGCTTCATTGCCAGGGTCGCTGCAGATATTAGAAACTTCCTAACACCTTATTCTATGGTTTCTGTCGGTAGTATCTGCAGATGGTATAGTAGCACAGATTCAATGTCAATTGTTACGAAAATAGATTCAATCGAAAATTGGAATACCCAATCGATATCTGTGTATATGTATGTATGTCGTAAAATTTCTCGAAGTACATATGTACATTTAAGTCCGTAAAGCTGTGGTTGGCAGGAACATTAGGAATATGTACGTGGTTGCACTTAAAATCATAAAAAATATTAGTATGTAATTATAAATATTTACAGCACAGAAATACAGATCTAGCAGACAATGGAAAGATACATACAGAGGCGTTTAAGTACTTTCTAAAGATTTGTAATGTGTTAATGTAAACCCAACACCCTCTGGTGGTGCCATGTAAAGCAGATTAAATGAAGGAACGTGTGTGGAATATGAAACTACCAAGTACATATACACACGAATCAAGCCGGACATTTATGAAACGTCAGACGTACAACTAAATTGCTATTTTGTCGCATTTTACGGTAAATCATGTGTTTGTTATAATGAATTTTCGAATACCTGCCGGTTATCTATGTACAATGATAACATGACGCTGCGGTGACATTTTTTAATCGAATTATATAGCTTCACAGTGTTATCACTTTGCGTCTCAGTCTCAGGTTATGGCTGTCCACAATCTATCAATTTGGTTGCGGTTTAATTAAATAATACTCATCGTTCATTTGTAATCCAATACAATTTCGCGCAAACTATAAACTAAAATCTGATGGGCTTGAAAAACTGTTGTGACAATAAATGGAAAGCCTGATGTGGTCGTGTTATCTTCCAATAATAACAGTTAAAAAACATTGTTAATAAACATCGATGGTAATCGGACATTACAATAATTGACACCGGAGTAATGTCGAATTAATGAATTAAAGGGCATTCTATGCGTACACATCCTTGTATTTGTTATTCACATTTATACTCTTTTTTTTTTCTAAAAAAAGTTAAATGTTAAAAATGAGTAGCTTATATAACATTTTCTTTCTATTGTTTTAGAATGAAAATGCTCTTTATGTACAACATGACATTACTGTGTATTAATGCTGTCTAAAGAAAAGGCATATTATCAAAATGACTGAGGGTAAATAAATATTATTTATACTATATTGTTATTATTAAACTGTTAAGCACTGTTCATTTTTGGTTTATATGTTAATGCATGTATAAATGTATCTGCAGATAAGCATTTATTAAAAGAGAGGTATTATGAATTAAATGATTCCATCGCAGGTGGAGAGACCCAACCAACTCCTGGAAATGAGGCACAACCTGGTATGCCTTGGTTTCTTCTATTCATTTCTATAAATTACAGTTCATTTCAAATTTCTATATGTTCAAAGACAGGTATCAAGCTTAATATAATTAAGTTAGTGTTCATTGCAGGCATCTGTTACGTTACAGAATGGGGCTTCATCTGTTAGTCTCTACCATCATGCAGAATCATCTAGTGTTAGAAGTCAGAATATTCCTTTACCGGTAGTTTTCGTACACATTCACCAAAGATATTTGTGTTTGAACATAGAAGACATAGTTTTACGTTTTTATTTAACAATATTTGTGAAGTACAAAATGTTCCCGATGTGTAAACTTTATATTTTTGTCAGAAGCCTCTGAACCTAGAGCCATACATGGCGAAGGATTGCACGAAATAATAGCAGAATCATCTTCTCAAAACGTACCTGAATCATCTACAGATTTACTTACTGTTCATGGAACAACGCAAGGAGAAAGTAGTGATGCTGTTAGCATACATACAGCCAGTACTTCAGTTTCTGGCAATGGTAAACATAGTTTATATAGTGAAGTTCGAAAACATGAATATACTCTAAAGTTTACAATATTTTAGAATCAAGTTCCAGTAGAGTGAGTGCAATAACTGTAGTGTTACCTTGGGGTGCTCAGAAGGAAACAGTGAAACCATTACAAATGGCAGATATGGATATAGGACCTGGAGAATTTGTGATGCGTACCTTATTCGCAGAATTTACATCGCAGGCAGAGAAAAAGATGGAAGCAGTTATGACAGAACATGTAAGTGCTATATTTGTCTTTAATGTTTGTTTGTTTCTAACAGAAAGTGCCTTGTAGGAAAAATCACTTTCAAAAGTATTACAAAGAGGTGAAGATCCACAGTTTGATCAGCTTTTATCTGCATTTGGTTCTGTTGCGGAACACTGTTTGCCTTCTATACTACGAGCATTATTCAATTGGTATGAACGTCAATTAGTTGATCAGGGTAGTGATCAGAAAAAACCTGCTCCTGGGAAAGAAGATCAAAAAGGAAAGAGGTAGACGAATATTTTGGTAAATCAAAAGTTTCGACAATATTATATAATTAATGATATTTCGTTTCAGTATCATGTATACAATAGTATCAGGAAGTGTAGAAACAGTTGAAAGAAGTGAAGCTGACTTACTTCAAGAACGGAGAGATCTTGCTGTTGAATTTATATTTTGTTTAATGTTAATAGAAGTATTGCGTCAATTACCATTTCACCCTGGTCATGAAGATTTAGTAACATATATAGAAAATATAGCTTTTAAACATTTTAAATACAGAGAAGGGTAAGTAATGATACTTTCTCTATACGTTCTTTAAAAAAATGGGAGATTATTGTTCTTTACTTATAATATATTACAGTATTCAGAATGAACCAAATGCAGCAAATATTCATATTATTGCTGACCTTTACGCGGAAGTAATAGGAGTACTTGCACAATCTAGATTCCTTTCAGTAAGAAAACGATTCATGATTGAATTGAAAGAGCTACGTGCTAAAGAACCTGGACCTCACACAACTCAGAGTATTATCTCATTATTAATGGGAATGAAATTCTTCAGAGTAAAGGTAACTGACTTAGAAGTGTTCCTTCATTTATATTAATCTAAAAATTTATATATATATAATTTTTTATATGTATGACATATATATTTACAGATGGTACCAATAGAAGAATTTGAGGCATCATTCCAGTTTATGCAAGAGTGTGCACAATACTTTTTAGAAGTGAAAGATAAGGATGTTAAACATGCTTTAGCTGGACTTTTTGTTGAAATTCTTGTTCCTGTAGCAGCCGTAAGTGGTCTGATGTTGTAGTACAAATACACACTTGACGTACTACAATCAATCAAATTTTCATCAATATTTACTCCTTTCTTTTCAGGCTGTGAAAAATGAAGTGAATGTACCTTGCCTGAAAAATTTTGTAGAGATGTTATATTCTACAACGTTGGACATGTGTACCAAATCAAAACATAGATTGGCACTGTTTCCACTCGTAACGTGTTTATTATGCGTGAGTCAAAAAACATTCTTCTTGCAAAATTGGCACTACTTCTTAGCAATGTGCCTTTCACACCTAAAGAACCGGGACCCCAAAACCTGTCGTGTTGCATTGGGTACGAATTTTATTTTAGAGTTTCTTATCATGTTTTCAAATATTTTAAATATTTTTCGTATCTATTTTGTAGAGGCGCTATACCGTTTACTATGGGTGTACATGATACGCATAAAATGTGAAAGTAATTCAGCTACTCAAAGTAGACTGCAAAGCATCGTGAACTCTTTATTTCCTAAAGGTTCGAAGGCGGTAGTACCACGTGATACTCCACTGAATATTTTCGTTAAAATCATTCAGTTTATCGCACAGGAAAGATTAGATTTTGCGATGCGAGAAATAGTTTTCGATTTGTTATCGGTTGGTCGGCCAGTAAAAATAATTTTAACTCCCGAACGGATGAGTATTGGACTTCGTGCATTTTTGGTCGTTGCTGATAGTTTGCAGCAAAAAGAGGGAGAACCTCCCATGCCCCGTACAATGGGTGTATTACCAAGTGGCAATACTATACGCGTTAAAAAGACATTCCTCAATAAAGTGAGTATATATAGCGAATATTCTTATTTACAATTATTATTAGAGTAAACTCATTTATCTAAAATGTTTATTTTATAAACAATAGATGTTGACAGAAGATACTGCGAGAAGTATAGGAATGTCTTCATACTTTCCACATGTTCGTCGGGTGTTTGTTGATATATTACGCGCTTTAGATGTTCATTATGGCAGACCTCTCATGATGACAAGTACACAAAACATGAACAAGGAACCAGACGAAATGATTACCGGAGAACGAAAGCCTAGGATAGATCTTTTCCGGACGTGTGTTGCAGCAGTTCCACGGTTGATACCTGATGGAATGACTGGTGCTGAATTAGTTGATTTATTATCTCGTTTAACAGTTCACATGGACGAAGAGCTTCGTGGACTTGCATATCAGAGCTTGCAGACATTGGTCTTAGATTTTCCCGACTGGAGACAAGATGTTGTACTTGGATTCACTCAGTTTCTCGCTAGAGACGTTCAGGATACTTTCCCACAACTTGTAGATAACGGCTTAAGAATGCTTTTGCAACTTCTCACAAGTTGGAAGAACGCACTGACAAGTCCAAGCATAAGATCTAAGGAACAGGCGGCCGACAGTACGAGAACAATTGCACGCACCGATGGCTGCATTAAGAAAAGTGAATCAGGACAAAAGATAGAACCTGTTTCAAGCGTGTTTCAGTTGGTAGAGGGTTTTGCATTAGTTATGCTATGCAATTGTCGACTTTATCCTCGTAGAATAGCAGTTCATATATTGCGCGAGGTCAAGTATTTGTTAAACACTTTAGGTGAGCTTATCGACTACTATTTGTTACATATTTGTGTAGACCATAAAAGGTAAGAATAGGAATAAAGGTTATTTGTGTAATTTAGGAGGTTTGGAAGATGATCAAGCTGTAATAGATGTAATAGATGCTTGTTGTCCAGTGGTTTTGGAGAAATGTTATCACATGTTACCACCCGCGGAAAAGACAGCAGCTGCTTCAACGTCTAACGTGGATCTTCAGTGGATAGCTGAAAGAAGCAGTTGCGTGTGGACAGCGGGTAAATCGCATACGTTTTCATATATGTATATCAGATATATTCGAAGTTTATTAATGGGAAAGTGTTGCAGGACTTCACGATGACACTAGTACGAAAAGCTCTTCCTCTTTGAATTTGAATGGAGCAGATCCATGGGGAAGTTGTCTATTCGCTTTCTTAGAAAAGGACAGAGTGCTCACATTGTGTCCTTCTGCCGTCGCGCACTCATGGCCTATCGTGTTTACCCGGATAAATTCCCTCTTCTCAGTAATTGATCCTACGTAAGACTAACTTATAAGAGTTAGAAAACCATTGAACTCGTCAGAGAGCTAATATCATTTTTATTCTGTTTAGACCTGTGAACGACAATAGAGCATCCCTATTGCGAAGTTCAACGGCAGTGCGAAAGCCGATCAACGAGAGAGACATGTACATGCATGTTTGGAAAAATTATTTGACCTTCGGATACAGGGTTGTCCCGCCGGTACCGAGTCCGGTTGTACGGTGCGCTAGTCCAGATCTCAGTCTCAGGTAGGTTGACACACGGACACTGTTGCAGGGACATTTAGCACCAGGTCATTTCATTATTACTTATTGTTTCCGAAGACATTGATCAATCATTTAGTCAGAACGTAAGGGATAAGTATATACTGTTCAGTGGTGTATTAGTTTCTGTAGCTCTAAGATTAAAAATAATTCTACTTGCACAAATTAAAGATAGTCTTAAATCTTTAATTACGAAGTTTACAGTTTTATCATTAGAGCTTTACATGTACTCATAAAGAGATGGATTAACAGGTGGAATTACTATTCATTTGGTATTAATTGGTGTAAGGTCCGTGTCTGCTTATGTCCATGGTACGACGGAAATGTTATATATCGGTTCCAGTGTCCGTTCGTTCTTGAACAATCATTATGGAAAAACGTCTATAACAGCGATTCGTGGCAACATGAAATACGTTTTTCTCATGACATGCATTTCTTGCTGTGTGACATGCACGTTCGCATTTGTACTTCTAATGTCTGACACAAGAATGTCTAATCTCATTTAATACTCTCTCCCTCTCTCTGTCTCTCTCTCTCTCTCTCCCTCGTTTTCCCTTCACACTGGTGTCTGGGAATCCGTTGTTGTAATTACGATACGAGGCGTCGTACGACAAGATGGGGAGCACCAATTCGTACCAATGCGCGCTTTGCACTATCGGGAGCGGGATTCGACTGTCGCACACTTTTCTCAATTGCACATTATATCTCGCTTCATTTTCTGTAACATTCTACTCCGCATGCTACTTGGTCACTGTCTCGCACACGTACATCCGGAACTTAGAGTAGTAGTTTCTGAGCAGTAAATAATGTCTGATACAAGGAGCATTGGTGGTACACTGTATTGCATACTCTAGTGGTCAGCATACGGTGGAGTTTGGTGTGTTGTGCATGAGTAAGGAGTTGAGTCAGAGCCTGGAGAATCTCGGCGGGGCGCAGACCCTGCCGGGTCGGTTCTCCGTACCGTCCATTTCCGGCATCTACACCAGGCATAAGCGGACCAGGTGAGCCTAATTAACCATTGCGAACGACCATGCTTCGAAGTCACCCGGGATTTATAACGGTCGTTGGTAATTTGCACTATTTTTCCGTATTCGAAGTTTTCATTTATTTCTGTATACCGTAGCTCTGATTAAGCTCCCATCCAACCACGATCTGTACATGTATCTTTTATTTTACTCCTTGGCTAGCGTTACGACCGTTCCCGATTGCTTTAAACGGAAATTAAATTTCTTGACCGCGCACGATTTGTGTCTCTGTAACTATGTGTTCATTCGGTCCCGGACCTCTGATCGCTGACAAAGCATTCGTTTCCTCGTAGCTCCTCGCCGGACAGTCTTTCCGCCGAGAGAGGCGACAACAAATCACCCGGCACGAACGCGAGCCCTGCAGCCCTCTACAAGTTGACGGTACCTCTTCTGAGATGCGAAGTGGTCGATGTCAGAGATGCTGCTGTCCAAGCAATCGGCAAGGTCAACGCTGATGCTTTGAAGTAAGTGAATATAGCAAACGCAATCGGTGTGCTATTTTATTGACGATGATTTTCATTTTGCAGAGATTTAATGGAAGAACTAGTCCCTTACATTCGTGAAGCGGTTGATCGAAAGCAAGAAAATATGAGACGCCGCAGACGCAGAGATGCGTTAAGATTACAGTTAGTGAGAGTTCTAGAACTCATTGCCGAGTATGGAACTTTCGGTATCTGGTTAGTAATTAACTTTGGCGTCTCTGGACCTATAGGATCTCTGGACCTAGAATAGAAAATAATTCTTTTTGTATGCTTTATTCAGCCCTGCAGTATTAGGCCGTGAGACACAATCGCTTCATCCAACGTTCGTCGAGTATATCGACGGTGCACGTTTATATTTGGAGAACGAGGCTGACAAAGAGGCTCCTGCTGTGCGCGATATCAAGTTGCATTTCTGTAATTTTATTAGAAAAATGATCAAGAGTTTCACGTGTAAGTAAGCTGTACACACAAGTAGTCCTCGCAGGAATAGTTTTGTTTCATATGACTTTTTGTATTTTAGTGGAAACGTGTCAGTCATTGTTGAAGAGAGATTTGAGACGGAGTTTGTTCATGCTGTTCGCTAGTTGGGCTGGCCCTTACGGTCGCTCGATTACAAGCCCATTCTGGCTACAGGAAGAAGGGAAATCTTGTACGGAGTTACAGCTTTCAGCGCTGCAAGCCATGAGTGGATTGTTATGTTGCGGGCCTTGCTTCAATCCTCAACTGTTTTCTGAGGAGGGAGCGATATTGTATCAATGGCTGGACTTACTGTTGGATAGCAAGGATGAAAAAGTAATAATATAATACACATTCGAAGTACAACTATTTAGGAGACCTGATATTAAACATCTGTAATAATATTTGTCAGATTTACGCCCTTGCTCGAGAAACGGTAGTTTTGCTATTAGAATGTAATCCTGATATTGGAGCTCTCCTGGATTGGGTCGTCGACAGATGCTATACCGGAGCTCCTCAAGTAGCCGATGGTTGTTTCTTAGCGCTGGCAACAATCTTCAGTGCAAGGTTAGCGATGTCAAAAATATATTTCATGATATCTCACGTTACTTTTCAAGATAACTTAAATACCTTAAAATCAATTCTTTTATTCTTACATGTGGGAATATTCCCTCAAATTATAAATAGTTTAACTTAAAAAAATTACAACAGAATACAAAAGATTTTAGCTCACTTTCATACATAAATATGATACAAGCAATTTTAAATATATTTATTCGCTTTCCAGAGAATATCCTTGCGATCATTACACAAGCATCATCAACGTTACACTGATGAGTACGGGTTGCCCTCGTGCTCCTGTCCACGATGCGGCTCTTCAGCTTCTCCAGCTGTTGGACCAACGGTTTTTCGGGAACGTGGGTCCCCTTCCGACTACAGAACCAGAGACCGGTAAGACACTGTGAAGTAGAATCGATTACCGAAAGAAAACCACTTTTTAATCGGTATTCACCTCGCATCGATTGTTCATGTCGCGCAAACTTGCACCACGCTTCACTGCGAGATAACGTTCAGCTCGTGGAATTCTTCCCATGGTTCTGTATTCACGGTGGTGGTGGTACTTCGACGTATCGACGCGTTGCTTGGTCGCCCGATCTTCGATGCTGAAGACAAATATGATCTTTTAAGTATCGCGCAACTGTAAGCTGCAAACGAGTCGTTCGTTAATTCACCGGTCGCACGTACCACTCTGCGTTACATGACTAAACGTCCGCGTCATAGTTGCATTTCTTTTACCAAATCTCTTCAGGATCATGCAGCGTAGAGCTCGCCGGAAATTCTGACCGGTGGCACAGTACAGGATAAAATTGATTCCGAAATTGGTATTGAACAGCAAATTGCAAATCTGTTGCGCCAGAGCCACTGAACGGGTTGCGTACACCGCCTCCTGAAACTGTATTTTTATAATCAAGGTGTAAGCACAGTTCTGAACGAACAGTTTACACGATAGTGCAGAGTTTGGGGACTCCGTCTATCATGTTTCGTGTACTTAATAATTTCGAGTACACGGGTGGTTCACGTAATACAATAATGTCTCCCTTACTGACGCCCAGATTGCGCACAAAAATGGATAATTTGGGAAGAGGAGATACGATTATTCGAGCTTTGCGGTTTATTTTTGTAGTTATAAATTGTCCACAATTATAAAAATGAGCCGCAAGGCTCGAATAATCGTATCTCCTCTTTTATTATTATTTTATTATTGTTTATCCTTTTTTATTACGATTATTCGAGCCTTGTAACAATTTGTAACTATAAAAATAAACCGCGAGGCTCGAATAATCGTGTCTCCTCTTCCAAAAATTGTCCACTTTGTGCGCAATCTGGGCGTCAATTAGAGAGACATTACTGTACAGACTAAATACGTTATTCATTCAATTAATTTACAGATTGTTCATACTGCACTCATTCTTTTCCCGGTGTACCGGGAATTATGCCCATGACAAAATAGTCATTTTCATTCTTCGGTGTTGACACAGCTATCGATCAATTGCAAAAAAAGAATCGTGTAAACACTGACGAACTTTCGACTTCACTTATTACGTTCTGACGATACATAACATATGTGTTTACGTTATCTTTATTTATCGTTATCTAGCCTCGTAAGTGTACGCAAAGCGGCAATGTAGCTCGACAGATGCAACAGTTTCAAAACTATTGCGACCATTGAACCAATAATAATCTACGCGTGTTTGTACAAAAATTGCTGCACATAAATATAACTTTTTACACGCTAATTTATATAGATTGTGACACTTGAAACGGGCCACCTGAATAACTCTGCCGCAGTTGGCAATAGAAATAAATGGATCAGACGAGAAACTTGCTTGGTGGCGAAGAGACAGTGAACGTGATGAGAATAGTTCCTTTGCAGAGATAAGAGGTGTAGAGGAGATGCGAAGGTCGATTTTCTTTTTTTTTTTTTTAATGAAATGTCACTTTCCTTTTTCCATTTGCGTTTTAGGAAACAGCACAGCGGTCTATGATTGAAAGTCATTCAAGGTTACCGAAGGTCATTTGCAATGGAGTATGATTTGCCTCACGGAACCTATTCGATTGCTGCGCTGCCTCTTGGTTACTATGTGGCTCTTGTAATCTCTTATACGGATCGTAGAATGTAAACAAACGCTCAACCGGGTTGTGTGCTTCTTATTTACTGTACCTACGTGTACTATTATTAGTATGCTACTGCGGTATGCTACCGATCTAGAAGGGTCACGAACTTCTAAAATGCGTTGCTCGAAAACGCAAAGATTTGATTAGTTTTTCGCTTGTAACGAATTTTGAAGAATTATGATACAACACAGTCTGTTTATAGATTATAGATTTTCTGATTGTATCGGACGTTTACAATTAGTCCTTTCAGATGTTATACAGATTCGTTAGAAAATCGGGTGCGTAGATACGTAAAAAAAGCATCGATGATTCAACAGAGCAATCGATAGTGACGCTTTGGAACACTCATCGATGTTCAAGGTTATCACCTTGAATGCTTGCATTGACAGAATGCATGCGAATAAGTGGTTGCTTGAAGTCTATCGGTTCCTTGATGTAAATTACTTTCGACCATAGTCGACCTTGAATGATCTTGAATGACCATAGGTCACTGTACTATTAAAAGGTGAATAAAGACGTATCATTTCAGAGAGCAAATTACTCTTCCCATTTTATCTACACTCCTCTACAAAGGAACCACAGCCACTGGATCATGATCTTGACATCAAGCACATTTGATCTCATGTTTCTCCGTCAATAGACGCGGTGTTTCAAGTGTTCCGGAAAATAGAAACTGTAATAAAACAAAGAGATACATTTACATCGTCGAAGATTCAACCAACTTTTGCCAATTTTCTTCAATTGTTTGGTAGAGCGACTTACAGGTTCCACGACGTAGCAGTTTATTAACGAGCTTCGTTTCGAACGCATATTTCATACCAACCCTGGCGAAAATAGTTTATCGCATCGATCAAGCGTCTATCATTGCAACAAGGTGAAACTTGTATACAAGCATCTCCATGTCGTCATCTTTGTCGCCAGAAGTATTAAAAAGTCTTCCAACACTTTGCCAGACCACTTGGCAAATATTTGCGTAACTTTCATGAAACAACAAAAACTTTGATAGTTTTTAAAGATATTCTCTGCTCGTACAGTGATCTATAAATATGTTTGCAAAAAAAAGTTCATTCAATTTCATCTTTTCCGTTTTTTATACACAATGCCAGTTCTCATGCGCCACCATATTTGTTTGTATTTAATAATCTACTAGAAATTAAATAATTGTAAAAGGAGAGGAATATAAAGATTACGTAGAGTGAAGAATACAATTAGAGCAATCGTATGTAAAATAAAATGGAAACATTTATATAAAATGGAAACAATTGTATAGGATGAAAAAATAAAATAAAAACAATTGTACAGAATGGAAAATGAAATGGAAACGTTTCTATAAAATGAAAGATAAAATGAAGAAAATTATATAGAATGAAAAATAAAATAGAAACAATTGTATATGTAGAATGAAAAATAAAATGGAAACGTTTCTATAAAATGAAAGATAAAATGGAGAAAATTATATAGAATGAAGAATAAAGTAAAAACAATTCACAGAATGAAAAGTAAAATCATAAGAATTGTACAGAATGAAAAATAAAATAAAAACAATTCTCTAGAATGAAAAATAAAATCGTGACAATTCTCTAGAATGAAAAATAAAATTATAACAATTGTACAGAATGATAGATAAAATAAAAACAATTCTCTAGAATGAAAAATAAAATAAAAACAATTCTCTCTAGAATGAAAACTCTAAAACCGAAACAATGGAATAAAATAAAAAATAAAACGCCAACTACGCTACAGAATAAAAATACTCCAATTTGATCGAAACGTTCGATTTCCGGAGTTAAACGAGCCTCGACTAATTACGCTAAAACCCTTAATCAGCGACTGCTGTTTGCAGAAAGTTTCGCTATCGAATCAGCGGAATTAAGCGGAAAAAATGTAATCCGCGCGTAAAACCTCATTAACGAGCCGCTATAAAGCATAAATTTTGCACGCATCATCGAACCGTTTCCATCGAATAATCCCAGCCAGGGTTGGTACATCCCCGTCACCCCTTGTAAATCAAACAGGGTACACGCGGATAATCCGTAACGCGTGTCACGACACATGTAGAACGTAGCTACAGGCGACCACGTACATGTAGAAACGCATAAATCCTGAGGACGTACGCGGGCAGGTTGAAGCATAGGAAAACGGTGGACACAACCAGCAGCATCTTGGTGATCTTGGTCTGCGCCAGATTGCCCCGTAGACTCGAATAGGGTGGTTGCCTCCCTATCCCTGTGCGTGGCTCGTTGGTCAGCGATTTTCTAATTTTAATATGCCTATAGATAGCACGGGCGATCAGCACGTTCAGGACGATGATCACGGTGAACGGTATCGCGAACGTGAGCACGGTGTCGATGGTATTGTAGACGGTCGCCCAGGACTCCAGTCCTTCGGCCAGGTGGCCGCACTCGGTCACGTTGCCCTTTTCGTTGTACTGGACACTGGTCGCGGAGAACCATAACACAGGGCTGCACAGGATCATCGCGAGCATCGTGAGAACGGCGACGGTCACCTTGGCCCTGGCGACGGTGCACATCGACTGCCGATACATCGGGTATTGCACCGCGATGAACCGTTCTATGGTGAAAACGACGACCAGCCAGACGCTCATGAAGCTGCAGAGCGTGGTCAGATAGATGAAAAACTGGCAGAAACCGGGCCGATTGAACAGGCCCACCTCGAGCATGTTCAGCCAAACAACGAACACTGATACGAGAAAACCGGTATCGCTAATGGCCAACGCGGCCAGATAAACGCTGGACGAGTACTGGCACAGTTTCGTGCCGAAGAACACGATCACCGACAAACAGTTCCCCAGGGTGCCCAGGTAGACCAGGATCGGCGTGTAATAGAACTGCAGGCCCCGGAACACGTTCTCGATCAGCTCGATGCCCGCCGCCGCCGCGTCCCTCTGCGCCCGGACCATTTTCGTTCGATTCGGCCACGCGAACAAGATCCCGGTCCGTGAGAGTGTTTCCCGATGACGCGCGACGTTCGAAAAATCTTTCACGTTTCCGTTCATCAACTGACATCCCGCAAATAGAAACAGATTTCAGGGGGGTTCGCATTCACCGCGCGGAACATAGCCCCTCGGGACGGCTCTACGCCCGTTCGGGGATCATTCGCGCCGTGGAAAACGATCCCCGGCGGCGGTTCCAACAAAATCGGAACACCGGCAAGGCGGCCGGGAATGTCGTTTCGAGAGAAGAATCGTCGGAACAGCGAATATTCGTTTTATTCGGCACGCCGGATGGCTTCTGTCGCGCGAGCCGCAGCGACAAAATGGAGAGCCCGCGGCCGAGCGGTTTGCAAACACGGCCGGCCGACGGAGAGCATCGCCGCGTTCACGCGGATTCGGATGCGACGATTCAGATTCGCACGCAGATCGAATTTATAGCCGATCTTTTTCTTTATTCGCGTCGTCGTCGTCGCAACGCGGCGAAATCGTTGCTCCGGCGTCGAGCACCTGGCGCGGATCAACCGGATGATCGGTGTTTGTTCGATCGTCGCCGCGAGAGAATCGCGCGGATTAAGATGAGACGATTCAGATTCGCACGCCGATCAAATTTATAGCCGATCTTTTTCTTTATTCACGTCGTCGTCGTCGCAGCTCGGTGAAATCGTCGTTCCGGTGTCGAGCATCCGGCGCGGATCAACCGGATGATCGGTGTTTGTTGTTCGATCGTCGCCGCGGACTCGGGATCCGTCGCCGGTTCCGTTCTTCCACGGTCATCGATCACGTTCCGACGATATTTTTTATAATCCGTCGCAAGCTCGTTCGCCTTATATCCGGCGCGGAGCCTCGGCCGCGCAACGCCGCCGCTCGAAGATTTGATTAATTTGACGAAAAATCATTTTGAACCGCTGCCAAATTCTCGTGACGTCTTCGGGGATCGTTCGGCCCTCTGTTCTAGTAATCCTCGAGGTCCGTTTTCGTCCGCAGAAGATTCTAGCACCTCGTCCGTGGACCCATCCTCCGAGCCCGACGCGATTGCTGCTCGCGATTCTGTCTCGCGTTACTTCGCCAGATCGAATAATCGTCGCTGACAGCGATTCAATCAATAGCGATGTATTCGGAAACTTGTACACACGCACACACACGCGCGCGATTAAAATCGCACTTGTTGACACGCGATTGAAAGATTGATTTTCACACCGATCACTCGTTTTACTCGCAAATGTGCAAATGATAGCACGAAACCGTATCGGTTTGTTCGGATTTTATGTTAATTTATTGTTTGTGGAGCGAGACAAGTTTATCGGTGATTTAAATTTACGTTAATTGTTATTTCTTTTTTTTTAGGATTTAAATTTATATTATTATTATTATTTGCGGAATTCTCTTTCGTTTGAAGCGGTGCTCGGTGCACGAAGAAAAAAAGAGGAGAGGAGAACAGATGCGAATAATGACGGGAAAGTTGACTAGCGTACACCAGGATGCCGCCTCGACTATTTCTGCATGGTGCATCGGGAACCGCTCTTGATAAAGTACGATGCAATGGGCTTCTGCGCATCGACGGCAATATACGAATTCTCCCTGGGCGCGTCTATCTTCAGAAATACAAATTCATTTTCACGGCTCGATTGATATTCGTCCCCGCGATTCTCTGACAGGCGATCGATCGTTTCTTCGCCGATATTATTCCGATTATGCGGTTACGTTTTTGTTTCGTTTCGTTGAAATGTCACACCGATTCTATGTATGTTATGTATGTGTTTCGCTAATTACCGTTCGCGGAATCATAGTTTATCGCACGTTTGTTCGATCGCCGCTTCCGCGCGCAGATATTTTCTGCTATCTAGAATAAACCGGATGCCATTTTATTCGATCAACGAAACGGGAAAATTCACGCGGCATACTCCTTGTTTCATGGTTGACGATCGAACGAGATCGGCCGATTTAATTGCGCGTTATTGTACAGGGTTGTTGGGATTTTTGTATTTTGATAAACAAATTGGGAATTCGATTGCGGGAGATGCTGTTTCATTGATTAATGTATTTTTATGAGAAATGTTTCGATTAGAGGCGGGAGGGTTAAGGAGGGTTGAAGGGTGAAAAGAAAATGGGCGAATACTGTTGAAGAACGGGCTCGTAAAATATGAAATAATTAATGCGTTGATCGATTAATACGATTGATATTAAACTTTTTACTGTTTTAGTTGTTTAGATTATGGCAGATAATTGCAGTTCCGTTGAATAATTGATTATTTAATATAACTATTTAATAGCTATTTAATAAGAGTCAGATAAATACAGGGTATTTAATAAGAGTGAGATAAATATAGGCTATTTAATAAGAGTGTGAGATAAATACTTATAGGCTATTTAATAAGAGTGTGAGATAAATACTTATAGGCTATTTAATAGGTGTCAGACAAATATTTACAAGCTATTTAATAAGAATGAGATAAATACTTACAGGCTATTTAATTAAAGTCAGATAAATACTTACAAGCTATTTAATAAGAATGAGATAAATACTTACAGGCTATTTAATTAAAGTCAGATAAATACTTACAAGCTATTTAATAAGAATGAGATAAATACTTACAGNAGCTATTTAATAAGAGTCAGATAAATACAGGGTATTTAATAAGAGTGAGATAAATATAGGCTATTTAATAAGAGTGTGAGATAAATACTTATAGGCTATTTAATAAGAGTGTGAGATAAATACTTATAGGCTATTTAATAGGTGTCAGACAAATATTTACAAGCTATTTAATAAGAATGAGATAAATACTTACAGGCTATTTAATTAAAGTCAGATAAATACTTACAAGCTATTTAATAAGAATGAGATAAATACTTACAGGCTATTTAATTAAAGTCAGATAAATACTTACAAGCTATTTAATAAGAATGAGATAAATACTTACAGGCTATTTAATTAAAGTCAGATAAATACTTACAAGCTATTTAATAAGAATGAGATAAATACTTACAGGCTATTTAATTAAAGTCAGATAAATACTTACAAGCTATTTAATAAGAATGAGATAAATACGTGCAGGCTATTTAATTAAAGTCAGATAAATACTTCAATGCTATTTAGTAAGGGACAGATAAATACTGAAGAGTTATTTAATATGAATCAGATAATTGCAAGCTATTTAATAAAAATCAGACTTACAAGCTATTTAATAAGAATCAGATAAATACTTAAATGCTATTTAGCAAGGGACAGATAAATACTGAAGAGTTATTTAATATGAATCAGATAAATGCACAAGCTATTTAATAAAAGTCAGACTTACAAGCTATTTAATAAGAGTCAGACTTACGAGCTATTTAATAAGAGTCAGATAAATACTTACCGGTTCTCTGATAGGATCACAACCGGACAACATTTTACCCGAAAATAGTCACATTACAAAATTTCCAGTGAACTTTTTCCTGTGAACGCAGAATGTAGCAACGTCATTCTTTGACTTTCTCAGTACACTGACGTTTATTGAAATGGGTTCCTCGTACGCTAAGAAATTTACAACCGTGTTTTTCTGCACGAATCCAAAAAGACCGACCATTGGATCGGCCTCCACAGTCGTCACGCGTAAATATGATAGAAAAGTCGAATAAATTCGAATAGTAATACGACGATTTCTGTCTCCGCGTACGCTACCATGGGACCTCGATTAACCGGCTTGGTGGTGACCGAGGGAACGAGGATAAAACGAGATCCATCGGATGATCGAGACTCGAGGAAAAAAGACTGGAAATGTGATCGATCAGCCCCGTCGAGAACTGAAAGTTGTGAAACTGTGGGGTGACTTATTCGTAAGAGGATACATTTTCTGAAAGTATTTGGCAACTGTGTTTTGTAGAAGACAAATTATATCATCTATATTAATACAGTTGATGCAGAAGAAGGCAAATTAGATCGTTTATGTTAATATAGTTGGCGCGGGGGAAGACAAATTAGGACGTTTATATTAATCGGAAGGAATATGCACGTACACATACATATGTATGTTAAATGTTGCTTTAAACTATTATATGGAATTACGTAGAATTTGCAGTCGTTGCAATTGACCAAGTATATACATGTAATTAATATTATAAAATGTATTAATATTGTAAAATAATTATAAAATATATATGTATTAATATATAATATAATGTATATATACTATATGTGTATAATATATTATATACAATATATATACTATATGTACATGTGTATATATATATATATATAATATAAATATAATATATAATATATATAATAATAATATAATATATAATATATATTAATATTAATGTAACGTATATTAAAGCACATTTGCAGATATTTTATTTGCCTAAAAATCTCGCGAATGCAAACAAACTTGAAAACGCTATTTAGTGAAAAGCTTTGTAAAAAGTTTCAGAACGGCGTTCGACTTATTCGCTTTTATTTACGTGTTTCCTAGAGCATTTGCACGAGAGTTTCGACGACATTCGTTTGTGCATCGGTTTCGATAGTCGGCGTCATCGAGCTAATAAAAGTTGAACGATCTTGTTCCAGGCCAGGACGATCTCGTTGCCGGCTCATCAACTACGGCCACTTCCGTGCCAGGACAACAGAGTAATCCAATCGGTGGGTTATCCTCGAACGGCACAATTAGGGGCGGCACCCTGGACGTCCTCCTGTCGACCACTTATTGTCGCAATCAGATGTATCTCTCGCGCCAGCTCGCCCAATTACATCCGGAACTTACGATGCCCATGTTCAGCGGTGAGTTTCTCCGCCACGTCCGCCAACAAATATTTCTGTCGCTTGAATTGATATTTATTATTATATTTGAAATATTTCTGTCGTCGACACGGCCCGAACTTGTTCGCAAGTTTCCTAGAATCTTGCTCGACGAATCTGTTGCCCGCCGAACTACCAAATTCTCCCCAATTGTCCCTCAGCTTGGAAACGAAAGTGGACAACTTGGCAAGAGGAGATACGATTGTTCGAGCCTCGCGGCTCGTTTTTGTAGCTGTTGATAATCGGCGTTGATAATAAAAAGCGAGCCGCGAAGCTCAAATAATCACATCTCCTCTTGCCAACTTGTCCATTTTTGTTTCAAAATTGACGGAGAATTTTGGAGAATTTTCTGTAATTTCGTTAACTGATCAGAACTGGAAAATTAGAATTTATCCAACGCGGCGTTTCTTCAACCCTTTGGCAGCCTGCGAGACTTGACAAGGATTGGTTAGAATTTTTGAATTCAAGGACGATAGAATTCGATCGGGTCCTGCGAGATGCAAGAAGGTCAAAGTGTCGCGCAGTGTCGCGCATCTTAACTTTTCTGGTTTTACCTCGTTAAATAAATTGCCTTCGTCGTAGTTTCGAAGTTGCTGGGACTGGCTGCCAAAGGGTTGAAGGGGCGGAGATTCCAGTTCGGTGTGGAAAATTGTCATTAAACTTTATCCTTGCACGAAATCGAACGAGGCGCGGAAGTTTTAATTGCGGCTAAACAATCTTAGCTCGCGCGATGCTTTCCACGGGCAATCCTTTCTTCGAACGAAGAGAGATCGCGCTCTTCGGTGTTCGATTTAAACAGCGGAAATATATTTTTAAATTGACCTAAATTTTCCCAGGGGATCCGACACAAAGGAATATTCGTGTGAAAAGTGAGCGTGTTCGAGAACACGGCGAACGGAGGGTGCTGAAGTTCGTACACCTTTTAAAACGCGATAACTTTTTTGAAATTGGACTAAGTTATCTGAATTTGTTTCAGATGATAGCGGGATTAGTCTACTAGACGATGACCAAAATGCCTTTTTTTAATTTTGTTATTATTTGGGGTGACAAAAAAAAATTAAAAAGAACTCTCTTTTTTAGCTTTTTTACGTGAGCCTATTTATATATTATATGTATAAATATATAGCCTATTATATATTTTATGTATATAAATATATAGCCTATTATAAATTATATATATTTAAATATATAGCCTATTATAAATTATATATATTTAAATATATAGCCTATTATGTATTTGATATACAGGGTGCCCAAAATTATTGTATTTCCGGGAACTGAGGGGTTCATGAGATCATTTGAAGTAACTTTTTCCTCAGCGAAAATGCGATCCGCGACTTAGTTTACGAGTTATTAACGAAAAACAGTGACCAATGAGAGGCGGGATCAACCGGCGCGTGGCGGCCGAGCCAATGAACGGAACTGGGCTCCGTGCGCTCGTTGGCTAGGCCGCCTCGCGTCAGCCAAACTCGCTTCTCATTGGTCAGTGTTTTTCGTTAATAACTCGTTAACGATGTCTCGTAGAGCATTTTCGATAAGGAAAAAGTTGCTTCAAATGACCTCAGGAACCCCGCATTTCCCGGAAATACCATAATTTTGGGACACCCTGTATATTGTATATATTTATAAAAAGAGAAAAATTCTCAATTTTTGTTATAGGCTCAGATAAAAATGTTAATGAACGAGAGTTTTTTTATTTTCTTTGTGAGCCTAAGTAATATAAAAAGTTAAAAAAGGAGGCATTTAGGCTAATACATTAGACCCTTTATCATCTAAAATAAAAATTCAAGTTATTTAGTTGAGTTTTAGAAAAGTTATTACGTTCTGGAAGGTGTACGAACACTTTTTTGGGCCAATGTACGTGGTTGCTCGTAATAATTGCTCGCAATACGCCTCGTCGAGCCCGGGTCTTTGTACTTGCGAGCACATTGGACAGTTCGAACCTTTTACTAGCAGTCAGCTAGAAATAATTCATCCATTTATAACTCAGCCTAATACCTATTACATTCTCTCGTTCACCTTGTGTGTTTGGATAGTAAACACATTTTGTCATACCAAATTCAAACAGCGTTCTCGGCGAACGATTATAAATGATGTTGTCGAACACCGTTCAAACAACAATGTGTGCACGCACTTCTACTTCTAGAAGCAAACTATACTGAAAAAGCTATCGAATAACCAATACGTAAAATCCGATCGACCGGATCCAGAGTTCCGTCAGCATTTTTCGCGTGTCGTCTTATTTATTTATAACTTCGTTCATACACGTTATTATTATTATTATTAGACCGGGGATCTTTTATGCAAAAACGAAATGTCCGTCATTTCGTTTTTTCTTCTTATTATTATTTTCCTTCTATCTTCTCGGTTTCGAGAGATAAGATTTGAATAAGAAGGCGTATCCATATTTTGTTGAGATAGTTTTAACCCTTTGCACTCGAAATCGTTTTAACTGTAAATTAGAAATAATTTCTCTGACTTATAGTATTTCCATTTTATACGACAAAGTTCATTTTATATAACAATCTTTTCTTAATTATTTTTTTTATAACATAATAATTTTTTAAATCTAAATTTTGTTGCTATAAAAATTATCTTGAAACGTGATATAACGATTTTTGCGGTGTCTCGGAGTCACCACTCGAGTGCAAAGGGTTAATTATTTTCAAAACAGCGTGCTACGTTCTTCTGGTTCATAATTTCTTTTTTCGCGTCACCATTTTTCTCATAAATGCATAAAATCCGCAATTCGATTATCACACGATCCTATTTATACATGCACATTTGACGCTAACGTTCAAAACGAACGAATGAATTACTAATAAAAAACAATAATTATTAATAATTAATTAATAATAATTGACACTTTAATGGCCGCTCTAATGGCCACATATGTGTAGTGCTTTAATAATTACGTAGGTGATTGCTTTAACAATTATCAGAAGGAAGTAACAATTCACGAAGGAAAAATATTAAAATTTGTTGTATTAAATGTGTAGTTATTATTATTGCTTTTTCTTTTGTTTTATGTATATGTTCGCACATGTTGAATTATTTCATGAATTTACCAAAACATATGCCGGCACCTGGCGGCGTTTGGCTGCGCAGACGCGCGGCCGTTAAAGTGTTGATAAATAATTAACCCCTTAACGCACAGTTTTTTTGGAAAAAAAACCGGCCAAAAAAATCAATTTTTTTAAATGTAAATTGTTCCATGGGAAAAGGCTATATTTTATTCTTGAATAAATAAGTGTTATAGCTCACAATCCCATGTAAATGATAAAAATCAATAAAACGATTTTTTTTCTTTGCTTTCACATTGTTATTTTCAATTCTCGATTATATTCGAGTGTGAAAAATTATAGCAGCATAAAATACAACGCCGCTCGAATTGTCTCGAGTGTGCACAGTTTGGCCTGTTTAGCGCGCTCGAATTAACTCGAGCGTACAAGTTAAGGGGTTAATAAATAAATAAAAAAACGATCGGGCCGACGAAGTAGAAATCAATAGAATTACCAAGTACATAGTGCCCGGCCGGAAGGTAACAAAAGGCGCGAAACTGTGCACGCGTAGACGAGTGTAAATGGCGGACCGACCCAAATACCGCGCGCCGTAACCGCATAGAAATGCAACCAATAAATTCACCGCGAAAATCGTCAGCGAACGCGCGGATCCCCCCCGGTCGGCTATACACACGCGTTGTACATCGGTTATGCATCGCTTTCAGAAATTACGCACAGGTTTCAAACGGCTAGAAGAGAAGTACGACAGCTGTTGCTCCAGTATTTGTTACCCTGGCTGCACAATATGGAGCTGGTCGACCCTAATGTACCGCCGCCGTCGAATCCATTGAGTTACTATCAGGTAATGCATTCAACAACGTACAAAAATATTACAAAACCGAAGCAATTAACAAATTGACTCCTGCAGTATGCTCCATCGCCGGTTATTCATGCATACCTCGCGGCCTAATCGCGATGATGTTGCATCGATCGCTGTAGTCTCATCGCGCGTTAATTTAAAAAAAAGCATCCGAAGCGTGGATGATCGTTAAAAAAAGAATTTTGGAGGCGCCGGGCATCGATCCCGGTACCTCTCGCATGCTAAGCGAGCGCTCTACCATCTGAGCTACGCCCCCCTGTGATTTGGTTCGATGCAGGTGCAATTATTGGCATTCGATTGCGATCTACTTTCGGTGAAAGGGTCCAAAAAAGATCTCTGGAGGCGCCGGGCATCGATCCCGGTACCTCTCGCATGCTAAGCGAGCGCTCTACCATCTGAGCTACGCCCCCTTCGATCCACTCTGTCCGAAGTGCCATTTTGTATTGTGCTTGTAAAATAATATTAGTTAAAATGTGACGAAATGTTTTGGATTCTGATCGTCGAAACTCGGTTGCCCCTCTCATCCGATTCAATCGTATACTTTTGGTTCTCGTTTGGTTCGGTACCATTTTAGCCCTTTGCTCTACGACCACGTCTGAGAGACGTGGTCAGATAATCGGGCCAGAAATGATTATCGCGACTGAGAGATGTGGTAAAAAATCAGGTCGAAAATGATTATCGAGTCTAAGAGACGTGGTCAAAAATCGAGTCGAAAATAATCATCACGTTTGAGAGACGTGGTAAAAAATCGGGCCAGAAATGATCATCACGTCTGAGAGACGTGGTAAAAAATTGGGTTAGAAATGATTATCACGTCTGAGAGACGTGGTCAAATATCAGGCCAGAAATGATTATCACGTCTAAGAGACGTGGTCAAAAATCGGGTCGAAAATGATCATCACGTTTGAGAGACGTGGTCAAAAATCGGGCTAGAAATGATTATCACGTCTGAGAGACGTGGTCAAAAATCGGATCAGAAATGATTATCGCGTCTAAGAGACATGGTCAAAAATCGGGTCGAAAATGATCATCACGTCTGAGGGACGTGGTCAAAAGATCAGGTCAGAAATGTTCATCATGTCTGAGAGACGTGTAAAAAATCAGGCTAAAAATGATTATCACGTCTCTCAGACGTGGTCAAAAATCAGGTCAGAAATAATTATCACGTCTGAGAGACGTGTAAAAAATCAGGCTAAAAATGATTATCATGTCTCTCAGACGTGGTCAAAAATCGGGTCAGAAATGATTATCACGTCTGAGAGACGTATCGTATCTCCTCTCTTTCCAAATTGTCAATTTTCGTGTACAATTCGAGCGTCAATTAGGGAGAACTTACTGTATTGGCTTTAAAACTTCGATCCCTTTCGATTCGAGATTTGTTGAAGTTTTGAGAAAAGCAGCAAAAAAGAATTTTGGAGGCGCCGGGCATCGATCCCGGTACCTCTCGCATGCTAAGCGAGCGCTCTACCATCTGAGCTACGCCCCCCTGTGATCTGGTTCGATGCAGGTGCAATTATTGGCATTCGGTCGCGATCCACTTTCGGTGAAAGGGTCCAAAAAAAAGATTCTTGGAGGCGCCGGGCATCGATCCCGGTACCTCTCGCATGCTAAGCGAGCGCTCTACCATCTGAGCTACGCCCCCTTCGATTTCATTCGATCGTAAGTGCTGTTTTCAATTCGTCGAACAATCTACTTTTCATAAGTGATGGAAACGTAACGTGCTCGGACGGACTGTCCCCTAACCGTGTAAACTGTGCTAACCGCGTATGTATATGTATGCCGCTCGATGTGTACCACTTTGACGAAATTTGTATTCTGGTCGTCCGTGGTCCCTCTTCCACTGAATTTTCCTTTTTATAGCTTTCCATGGAATTGGTTACGTCATTCTTTGAATGAGGAACAGTGTGAAAGCTCGTCGTTTTCTTATCAAAATCTGCATACACCTGTGTTATCGCATTGCCTTGTTCGTCACCGATGCGTTTGTATTTTGTGAAATAATAAGAGGAACAGCATTTAAACTCTGCGCCTGTACAGTAATACCGTGTTTTTTTCTCTGAGTTTACATTGTTTTCGTCTCTTCGAAAGATCCTTTAACTTCGTTTCGTAGAAATATTTCTTTGTTGACATTACGGACAGGAAAAAAGAGAAACTGCATACATGTTTTGACTCTATGTAATAGTAATACTCTAATAATAATAATCATGATAATAGTAATAATATTAATAATGATAATAATAATAATGATAAGAAACAATACATATAGGGCGACTATTTCTCCTGTATTTTAATAACATGTAGACTGAAACCTCTTAGGAGCTGTATCTTTTATCAACAAATAAAAGGGTAAATGCTGTGTCCCCTGTACAACAAATATTCTCTTCTGGTTTAAAATTTATTCTTCAGCTTCGAAATTCTCTCACCATTTCTTTTTACTAACTTCTTCTTTGCTACTTCCTAACATCTCTTCTATGCAATTATACTTTATTTTTGTATCAGTTTTGTCCTTAACATTGGAATTAAAATTGTAGAATTGTGGAATTAAAATTTTAATTATTTTAATTGTGGAATTAAAATAACACTGGAATTAAAATTGTTCGCAAACTGTATTGTAACAGTGTGTGCTCGAAGCAAGTGGAATTAATGAATCAAAATTTCTTAATACTTGAAGCATAACGAAGCAAATCGTACAACATATTTTCAATTAAATACCTGTTATTGTACAATAATTAATAGAGACATCCACGATCTGTCCAATCTATCTATCTATCATATGTTTTCTTTATTTGTTTATTGAATTAAAATTTGTCAGGTATTTCCTATAGAATAGTCCAATATTTTGTCTTGGAAATTTAGGAGAAAAAAAAGTATTTTGGAGGCGCCGGGCATCGATCCCGGTACCTCTCGCATGCTAAGCGAGCGCTCTACCATCTGAGCTACGCCCCCTTCGAGATCTCGTGTCTCAGGTGTCACTTTGGCCGTTCGGTGTGATCTAGTTTCAGCGAAAGTTGGCAAAAACAATTTTCTGGAGGCGCCGGGCATCGATCCCGGTACCTCTCGCATGCTAAGCGAGCGCTCTACCATCTGAGCTACGCCCCCCGTGATTGAATCTGTTTCAAAAATGATTTCCTGCTACCTGTACGCTCCATTTTTATCTTTTTCTTCGACCCTTACAGTCTCCAGCTTTTTAAACTATTTACTATGACTATAAATTAATGCTGCAGTTGTTAATAAATCAGTTAATTAATTTTTACTTGTAAATGACAATAGTCTTGTTCAACTTTCATAAGAAATTTTGCACACACTTGAGGACAACCTGTACGCGCGTATAGACTTCTGATTTAATGGCTTGATCTTTTGAAAGTAATATTGAGTAATTCCACTTTGTATAAACGTTACAACATATTTTTTAAATACATCTAATAGATTTTTGAAATATATGTAAATCAATTTTTCCAATACACATCTTTTGAAAATAATATTGAGTAATTCCGCTTTGTATAAAAGTTGCAATATATTTTTTAAATGCATCTAATAGATTTTTGAAATATATTTAAATCAATTTTTCCAATACACATCTTTTGAAAATAATATTGAGTAATTCCGCTTTGTATAAACGTTGCAATATATTTTTTAAATACATCTAACAGATTTTTGAAATATATTTAAATCGATTTTCTCAATACACTTATACATATTTGAGTTATGAGAATTACTTGTAATTTTATTCATGAAATGTGCAAAATTTCTAAAAATCTTTTCATTCAAAAACTACCGACAAATTTAAGAATGGATTTTACAAATATATTTGTATATGTAATTTGAAACTCTGTGTGTGTGTGTGTGAACAGTATTATGCCACGGATATGTCAAGGGGTGGAGCGAGAAGAGAAGGATGGGGTAGCGCCGAGGCAACGGAAATGGTGTTGAATAATTTATTTTACATAACTGCCAAGGTACTGCAAATAGACTATGAAATAATTCCGAGACAGTACTACTAAGAAATCATGTTCTGTATAATACATGTACATACGTTTCATCCAGTTCTCTGACGAGCACCCCAAAGAAACGGAGGAGCTATGGGCAACTTTGTGCGGTTGTTGGCCTAACAATCTGAAAGTGATTATTCGTTATCTGATCATCGTCTCGGGAATGGCGCCGCAAGAACTACTCCCATACGTAAGTTACCGTTAACAATAAATATTCTCGAATATTTACAAATAAACTTGAAAGATGAAACCGACTAAATCGACTCTACGGAAAAAAAATCTCCATAAATTCGACAACTTGAAAATTAACCCTTTGCACTCGAGTGGTGACTCTGAGGCACCACTAAAATTGTTGCATCACGTACCAAGGTAATTTTTATATTATAAAAGCTTAGATACAAAAAATTGTTAAAATTCTAATTGTTGTATAAGAGTCAGAAGACTAAATTTTATATGCATAAAATGCACTTTGTCATGCAAATATACAAATAAGCTTGAAAGATGAAACCGATTGAATCGAGTCTTCGGAAAAAAAATCTCCATAAATTCGACAATTTGAAAAAATTAACCCTTTGCGCTCGAATGGTGACTCTGAGGCACCACTAAAATTGTTACATCACGTTTCAAGGTAATTTTTATATTATAAAAGCTTAGATACAAAAAATTGTTAAAATTCTAATTGCTGTACGAGTCACAAGACTAAATTTTATATGCATAAAATGCACTTTCTCATGTAAAATGAAAATATCATAAGTCAGAAGAACAAATTTAGATTTATAGTTAAAATGGCTTCGAGAGTGCAAAGGGTTAAAATTTTGAGACCAGTCGTATCGACCGGCAGGCAGATTTAAAGCCAGCAATTAATCAATCATTGATGTTTCAGGCGAAACGCGTCGTGCTCTATTTAGCCAGAGCTCGTCCAGATCGTTTGGTGGATGAAATGATGACCGAGCTGCAAACAGTGGAAACCCTTAATTGCCTGATTGAACGAACCGAGACACCACCTTTTTATAGACTAACTAGCATGAGGAAGGCTTCTTCTCATAGCGATGCTCCGGCCGCGGACCCTGGCAACCCTTCTCGTGACCTTGCGGTCGAGAAAGGCACCATCCATACGAAAAGGCATTCCGGCGAGGATCCAGTTAAAACCGGGTAAACTTCCCAGGAAACACGATACAATCGCCACTTTTAATTGGTGTCGGTATTTGATCTATTGACGAGTCCTTTGGTGTGCAGGTCGAAATCTGATACAGCGCTACGGGCGCTCGCTGGATTTCAAACCCCACGTGTCGAAAAAACGAGGACTGCGAGCGGTCCGCCGGTTCTTCCTGATGATTTGTCCACTCCTACGACAGAGGCGGAGGTACTGTGACATATATGCTGTTCTAACGACGAGATCACGCTTCCCTGGTAACCCAAGGAACCGAAGAAGTTCTTACAGGGTGTCCCAAAAATGTCTCGCAATCCGGAAATGGCGGGTTTCTCGGATCATTTGAAGCAACTTCTTCCTTTACAAAAATGTTTTCCGAGGCACCGTTAACGAGTTATTAACGGAAAACAGTGACCAATAAGAATCGAGTACGGCTGACGCGAGACGGCCCAGCCAACCAGTGCGCGAAGCCCAATTCCGCCCATTGGCTCGGTCGCTTCGCGCCAGTCGAGCTCGCCTCTCATTGGTCACTGTTTTTCGTTAATAACTCGTTAACGGTGCCTCGGAGAACATTTTTGTAAATGAAAAAGTTGCTTTGAATGACCTGAGGAACCCGTCACCCTGTACAAACATGCGAGCAATTTGTCTTTGTCCCATAGCGGTTGCCAGTTTTGCTCTGACAGCTGTTGTTAAGTCGATGCCTGCGTTAAGACACGCATGCCGAGTTTCTCGAGACGATTCTCGTTTCATTTTAGTTAACTGCCGACGAGTCCTGCTATGGAGCACGCAACGGCCCCGCAGGTGTGAACGGGAAGATCTCCTGCAGCGGGGAAAAATTCGATATTCCACAACCGCATCCACTACCGATGCCTGAATACGGTGGATATTTTGCGCCGTTGACGGAATATTTGCCGGACAGTTCGCAGCCAATAAGTGGCTTTCATAGGTCAGATATTGCACTGTCGAATGCTACCCGTGACGATGTATACTAATAACGCATTTAGAGTTTATTTTAATTCATAACTGCACTACTTACAGATGTAACATCGCCGTAATGCTGCTCACCGACGTTGTCGTTGACGGCATACAACTTGATTGGACTATTCATGTACCGCTGATGCTGCACATAGTTTTCCTTGGACTGGACCATTCGAGGCCACTAGTGAGAGATCACTGTCGTTGCCTGTTGCTGAATCTATTAGTTGTCCTTGGAGATCATCGGGATCATCTGGGTGTGGCGAGAGTGTTGTTGGCTTCTAAGACGGAACAGCTGGGTCTGGGTCTTTCTACCCCGGCTCTGCCAGTATTGGAGCACAACTTCACGGAGGTTGATCCAGAGTTTGACAGTTATCTTTATGGTCCACCAACGGCGCCTCCGCCGACTACACCACCTGCATCATCTTCGCCGCCTCCACCTTCTTCCTCTCCTCCTCCTCCACCACCGCCACCTCCCCCGCCGCCGCCGCCGCCGCCTCTACCCGAATCTTCTATATTTACTTCCACACCGCCGCCGCCACCACCGCCTCCTCCGCCACCGTTTCCACCTTCAAATACTGGAACACCCACGCATTCGCCGATTCCTAATTCAATGTCCACACCTCCGACATCAATGAACCATGTGAATCCGGCGGTCATAGATAACTGTAAAGATTATTCGAATCATCATGCATATGGTGAGGGTTTCTACTTCTTTGAAAAGTCATCGCTACAGAGACTTAGTTCACTAGCTAATGTATTGCTTCAGAATCATCAGTTTGTAACAATTGGACACCCGCGGCCGGCGTGACAACTACCGTGCCACCTGTCATAGTTACTCCGGATGATGCTAATAATTGGATTGGCCCGCAACCTGGCCCTAACATGCCGATCCAAGATGTGATAAAATCTCTGATTAACTTTCTTGCTTCTAGGTATATGCACAGAATTAACGAAACTGTTCTATTTTCTAATGGAGCGTACACTCTATAGAAACAGATTGATTGTTGTATTAGTTTAATTTCGTATACAAAAAATACTTGCATAACGTTCATAAATAATCTCCCTTCGACAGGATAAACCAACCACTCTGGAATTACGAAGACATGACTGCCAAAGTCTGGTGGGTTCGCAGTGCAGAACAGCTAACAGTATTATTGCGACACGTGTTAAGAGTCTTCAGAGATTCTTTACCACATGCGTTAGTTAGTCAACGATGGGCACAAACCGCGCTGCAATTGGGCCTGTCCTGCTCGTCTAGACATTATGCAGGAAGGTCTCTTCAAGTGTTCAGAGCATTACGAGTTCCTATCACATCCCGTATGCTGTCGGATATTTTATCCAGACTCGTGGAAACCGTTGCCGAACAAGGCGAAGACATGCAGGTACTCGTATCAAAGTTATAATAAACAATGATATTTTGTTGTTGTAACATTTACATGTTTCCAATTTGAAATGCTTCTGCAGGGGTACGTGACGGAGTTGTTATTGACACTGGAAGCAGCCGTTGATTCCTTGGAGTCAGATTTCCGGCCTCTGGACTTTATGAAAGAAATATTTAAGTCTACGCCAAATTTGAACAACAAAGATCCAGCGTCTGGTTGCTTGATCGGTGGCAAGCGTAGCCCAGGAGGAGGAAATGGATATCCAGCCGGTCCTCACATGTTCTCCCATCTCAATCAAGGTGGTCACACGCGAAGCACTAGTTATTCAGTCAGTTATTGCATGAAGAAATCAAGCGGTGGTAATGTGGCAACCAGCGAAATAAAAGGTTTGTCGAGATTATGTCAAGGTTATGTCATTTATTTACATGAGATAAAGATTATCATGTTATTTTATATTTGATCTATTATATAATATGATTTTAATATTGTTTACAGAATTAGATAACAGATGTAACAAATACCCAAATTCCAACCTCTCCCGATCAAGATCTGCACAGTCGTTGAAGCTATTAGGTGACTCAGCGACACAGGACGACAAGATGACAATTCTGGCGCAACTATTCTGGCTATCTGTGTCTCTGCTCGAATCTGATTACGAACACGAATTCCTTTTGGCGCTGAGATTACTGAGTCGTGTGCTTCATAGATTACCATTGGACCGACCAGATGCCAGGGACAAGGTGGAAAAATTGCAACAACAACTTAGATGGAATTCCTTCCCTGGCGTGCATGCTCTGCTATTGAAAGGCTGCACTAGCCCAAACACGTACGAACCAGTGGTGACTTTATTGTCACAGTTCACTCCTTTGCTGGATTTGCCAGTTGTTGATCCTACTCAGAGCCTCGCGTTTCCAATGAACGTTGTGTCTTTGCTACCCTACATGCTTTTAAATTACGAGGATGCTAATGAATTGTGCATCAGGAGTGCTGAGAACATTGCACAAGTAAGTACAAGAACCTCATCTCGGTAATTCTTATTCTACAATTGCTTTTGCTACATCTAAATTTGAAAAAATATTTGTTTGAACAGGTGAGCGCTGAGAAAGGAAAAAAATTGGAGAACTTAGGCACCGTCATGACATTATACAGTCGACGCACTTTCAGCAAAGAAAGTTTCCAATGGACGAAGTGCGTTGTCAAGTATCTTTATGATACCTACGCCCATCTGAGTTTCAACATGCTCGCCTTCCTGGTGGAAGTCCTTGAAAAGGGCCCAGGAAGCGTTGCGTTGCCTGTGCTTAGTATTATACATTGTATGTTGCACTACGTTGATTTAGCTTCACCAGCTGCGCAACCAATCAACACTGAACTTCTTAGAGTGATTTCAAAATATGTTGAGGTACGTTTGACAGTTTTTTCTTTTTAATCGTAGTAAGTTGTATTCAATACAGCATCTCTTTGTTACGGAACAAAAATTAGAAATATTATATCAATTTCTAAAAATGATAGGGAAGTTTGCTGAAACAATATCCAAAGTTCACTTATAACAAAGATATACTGTATTTAGAATTGTTTTGCGGGAGTAGTTGATATATTATGGTGTAATACTAGGGTCCACATTGGAAAGAAGCCCTTAAAATATTAAAACTGGTAGTCACGAGATCGTCGACTTTAGTAGCACCACCTACTTCAGTGCATGGGTCATCTTGGGACTCTTCTTTAGCGTCTCCGCATCCGAGCTTCACCGATACCGAGATATTTACCAAAAAAGAACTGCCCGGTAAAACGATGCTCCCTAAAAATGATATGTCGCATGTATATAAATGTCTTCAAGTTGTTAAGTTCCTTCTTTCCTCTTACAATGCGGATCACGTTCACTGCATGGATCACTTATTCAATGATGCACAGGTTGCGATAAAAATAATAATAATGATAATAAAAAGATGTGAAATATTTAGAGAATACAGTTGTTATTTTCTCAATCAAAATTTATTCTGGATAGTTCGTTTAGAAACTTTCGTTTCAATCTATTATCTCAAACTTTGTGAAACCTTTAAATTTAAAAAAAAAAAAAGGTATAAATACTTGTTGCAATTATACTTGTGATACTATTGTTTTTGGGGAATTTTTGTTTCAGGAGAGTTTAAATATTGCGTTTAATTGACGTGCTGTGTTTTTGTAAATAGGAAGGACCATGGATTTCACTTTCGACTTGTCTCAAACACCTGTAATCGGTAGACGATGGTTAATACGTCAAGGTGTGGAAGAAAAGTCAATTAGTTCTCCTCGATGCTCGGTGTCCCTTTCGCCAGCCGACAGTAATGCGGTTGCTGGTTGGAAGAGACCGTGGATGTCACAGGTCAGATAATTATCAATAATATTGAACAAAAATATTTCTTTCGATTGTCGTATCAATTGAAACTTTTTCTTCAGGGACGTGTTAGAGAATGTTTGGTGAATCTTCTAACAACATGCGGACAACGTGTTGGACTACCAAAGAGCCCATCTGTAAGTTGTTACACGTTGACAAGCATTTTAAAAATATTTATCTGGACTATACATTCCTGTTCAGTAGTCTTCCTATGAACCGTATCATCTATCAAGACTGACTTTCGTTATGTACCCCTTTTTAGGATGAACACATTAGTTCAATGACCTTATATAGCAAGGTAACAGGTTTCTTTAAATGCAGTCTGCACTCTCTTTTTCACAAGAGTACAAAACTGTTTGTTTTTTTACTCGTATGTGACGTCTTATCGGTACAAGTATCTCCACGCTTTAATACGCTTCGTACAAATATGTTTCAACTTGCACAAAACCATTACGAGACGAAGAACATCTAGTCTCATTTTGTTGTAGAACTATTGATGCGCAGTAGACTTTTATGTAGCATGTGAATCGTATGGAAATTGCAAACTGTATCAGAATACATCGTACGTGTGTATCGTTGTTAACTATTGAACAATCGCTATGTCAGCAACTATGCAAATAAGATCAGTGTAAATCGATTTATATTCAACACATATATGCACTATAATTGCTACAATTCACTTACATTATCACATAGTAAAGAACGAAAAATGAATACGTCATGCTGAACAAGGATCCTGTTGCTATATTCCCCCATTTTCCTTATTAGTCAACTAAGAGCATGTGTTTGCAATACAGGTGATATTCAGTCAAAGTTCAGATTTAATGGAAAGACAATCGTCCATGGCTTCCTCGACGGAAGAAGTTTCCGGCGCGAACAATGATTTGAGCGGAGGCTCGAGAAGGGACGACGAGCAATTTGGTGTATTCAAGGACTTCGATTTCCTGGAATATGAGAGCGAAAGCGTCGAGGTACAAACTTTAGTTACTGATATTACTGTCTATATCGTTTACATTATTCGGTATAAATCGATTATTAATTTTCTTTCATGAATCGCAGGGTGAAAGTACCGATAACTTCAATTGGGGAGTGAGAAGGCGCCCTCTGAGCGAAGGGGAAGAAAGAGAGTCAAGTTTGAGGCAATTTGAGGAGAGTTTAAGCGAGAAAACACAATCATCGAGTAAACATACTAGTCGAGTAAGTCGAATACGAGTTAACAAATGTTTTTCATTTCAATTTGTAACATTTTTTTCTAACGTTGCATGTATTTCCGCAATTTGGCAATAACTCGTGAATTTATTGTCATGAAGTCAACCAACATAATGTCGGAATTCCAGCGAGGAGTCGCTGAAGAATCGTCAGATGATGAGGCTGGTTCAGAATCGCCTCTAGATGAAGTACCCGGTGGATCAGGAGCAGGCCAGGAGGCAAATAATATGCCTGGAATGTTCCCACCATCTTCTCTTTCATTGATACCGACCCGCACCCGACACGATTCATCGACAAGGTCTGACACATCGTAAGTTTCTTGTCAGAGCATAGGAAAGTTGTACTTAACTAAGTAATTTTTATCGCATGTTTGCAGTGGCTCCAGCGCTGGAGATTTGGGAGACGTGACACCTTGCAACGCGTCGCCAAACCTTTCGGCATTGATGCCATTCAGACAAGCCGTACGAGACGACGCTGAAGAAGTGTGGCGTCAACAAATCCAAAACCTCATGACGCAATGTCTACAATTCAACACGCTAGACTTTTTCCAACTATTAACTAGAATTCTAAGGGTAAAGTCAACATATTTTTAGTCTACACATTATTAAAGCTATAGCGGAATCTTCATTGTGATGTATTTGTATTCTTATCATTAGGATGTGAGCAGTAAGTCTGTTATTCTCACGCGAGAAGCCAGTATCTTATTGTGTAACGGCAGTCCCGCTTCCACTCAATTAGGATACCATTTAACTAATCACGCAGATTTGCTCAGCTCGAAGGCTGACCCACCGTTAATTTGGTTTTCCATTGGCATATTTGCGAATCAAAGATTGAACGAGTCCTTGCGGTTTGGGATGCTGGAGATCCAAGAAATTGTAGAGACGATCTTATATCGAAAAGATCATGCTACAGAAGTAAGCGCTCGAATGATACAATACTCATACTAGACGTGTAAAATAATAATAATAATAATAATAATAATAATAATAATAATAATAATAATAATAATAATTTTATGCAGTGCTTGGAAGCTACCAAAGCAGCAGTGAAACTCCAGGCATTAGGCGGCGGTCATACCGCGGAGGCCGGTTTCGAGGACTTGGGCAGATCGTTTTACAAGCTTCATCTTCAACTTCTGCTTCTGATCGAAGTTTCAAACAGGTTGTTGGTCACATTGATGAACGCCGCGAAGAATGTGCAAGTTCCGCTTCAAGATATGTCCACGGAAATCGCGGGCATGAAGACCGCTTTGAGCAGAGCGCTTGAGGAGAGCACTGAAAGCGAGAGAGGCACGCCAACACCAACGCCTAGTCCCAGCCCCTTACCTGGAGCAGGTGCCGTTGAGGAAGTTGCTCGCGTCGCGGAGTTACTCCGAAATGCCAGATGGTGTCATGCACTCGAGGCTGTAAGACTGCACAGAGCTCAATGGCCCGGAGATCCCTTCCACGATGACGACGACGTGACGACTGCTGTCAACATGTATTGCAAGTACCTAGGGCAAGACGGATCTGGTAAGTGAAAAGAAATTAACTAATCGTATCGTATTTAATATTGTACTTGTAGTTAATTGTTATGCTTCTTTTTATAGATATTTTTGTGGTGACACGAAAGGACGACGAAATGTCAGAGATCTTTACTAGATTGATGGAAAGCTTGTTTCAAGTTCTGGCTGCGTTAAGACATCTCTCTCTCAATAACTCAAAAAGCGACTGCTAAAATCGTAACGATAAGGTTTAATATCATATTATAGGCAACTATTTGTCTGAATTCAAGTCTTCGTCTTAACTTAATTGTGCGTGCGTTTTACCCGTATATTCTTATGTTGTATACAACTATAGACGTATGTATGTATGTATATCGTGAGAGTAATCGTCACAGTAATAGATAAACACGCACGAGCAGAAGCGCGATAGCGGCGATTTTAACGCTTCTTTTTTTAACACGATTGCAAAGAGACAAATGTACGCAATTCTTCGACGAAATAAACCATCGAAAACCTAAATAATGAATAACTCTATATTCATCAAACGGACTAGAAGCGATAATTGCTTTTTTTATGAGCGTTACCGTAACGTAGCAAGTTTGGGCGAAAGACTCGTTCGGAATACGATTGAAAATGCATTGGATATTATTAATAACATGGTTTGTACGAGATATGAATATTGCAATGTTTACTAGAAAAAAGAAAAGAGGTTCTTGAATTCCATCAGACATTATGCTGACATTTGTTGACGTTAAATTAAACAGGGGGAAATCATTTATGACGACTATACCGGAAAACGCATGCGACGAATGGGTCGCTTTGAGAACACATGGCACACCTGTGGTGACTTTACAAGTCAAAACGGTTTGGAGAGTTTGATTAAGGAAATGGAATCGTGGAATGCATTGCCAGTATTCATTTAAATGAATATCATAGTTACTAGTTTGCTTTTTATAAACATACAAGTTATTAGTATAATATACATACATAGTTATTATTAATTTAAACGGGCTTGTTGGGCACCTTAGTGGTTAATGTTTCAAAATTGTTTAAGTAAGTCTGTGACTTGTACGTTGGTATAGCTTTTAAAAGACTGGATGTTCCATGTCGTCTTCGTTGGCTTAAACTTTAAAACGGATATAGAATATTACACCTACGAAGTCCTCTGGAGTGTACCGTGTCCAGCTTATCCTGAGCCACAAGTTACAGTCAGCGTTTTCTTCTATGTCGCTAGACACATCAGTTATCCCCCTCATTACCCCGTCCACGTGAGTTCCTATATAATATTTGATTATCATTCATTCATGCTACGTACTATTTTACTAATCGTATAAACACGAAACATTTTTATCTTTTTAACATAGTATTTACAAATATAAATTTAATGTAATTTATGTTACGTTATGTTTTGTGATTTATTTTTTATTTAGTATACCTTCATGTAGAACACATTCTAATGTCGTCAAAGTACAATATTATTTTATTTCTAGGTTTCATATGGATTCGAGGGATACGAGTTTCTGCATAAACTGAGCATGATCTTCAGACCAAAGTGGTTGTACGATATCTTGGACATGAAGACGATGATATTTCAGTCTATCGATTTCTGAATCGTCAAAAATACTTCGCTCGTACAGTCTGACCAATAAATAAATTAACATAATGCAAATACGAATACGTTAATATTTTAGAAGGAAATATTTGCAGCAAAGCTTTCGAAAAGCATCTGTCGCCCGTGGAACGTCGTAAAACCATGGGTGTCGTGTTCGTGCAAATCGAGCGTGCTTGCGGCGCACTTTAGCCATGCGCTGCACCGGGGTTTGCATCAATTGGTCAAGCAATAAGAGCAGGTGACAGGTGCAATGGAAAATACAGCTACCAAGGGCTTTCGTTAACTTTTACACAGTTTGCTGAAACTCCATGGAACATAGTATACCATAAAATTATTGTGATCCAGTTTTATCATGTCTCGGTGAAAAACCCTTAGTGAAAAATAAAATCATGAATATGAAAAATTATTTACGCGTATGTTAACAATAAAAAATAGTATTCTATACATATGTAATGTTGAACTAGTATAATCAAACAGTTAAAGATACCTTGAAGAGGTGTCAATAAAATAATAAAAAAATTATACAAAAACTGAAGCAGCATGTTATAGCATTAGAGCACTTCTACCTCGAACGATGAAGATAGGAAAACGTTTCACAACCTTTTAGAGTGCTCGACCCCTCCCGCAGATCTTTCTCATTGTGTACTTCATAAGGAAACAAATACACACGTTTTCACGTCGATAATTTTTCTTTATAGTTAACGGAAATATGTTTCATATCAAACACGTTCGCAACAATTTGAATAAGTTGAATTAATTCTCGTGTTTTAATAACAAGTATATTTGTTTCGCGTACAGTGCCGCTTAAAATTTCAGCTTATCCTGCAACCATAAAAAATCTGTAAAACATTGCAGAAATCTGTACATCCGTTTGATCAGCAATTATTGTTAAAAATAAATTACCGTTTGTCCTCGCACGTGCAGCGACAGGTCCCCATTCGTCACGTTTTGCTTTTGCGTACAGTGCTGCTTAAAAGTTCAGCTTATCCTGCAACCATGAAAAATCTGTAAAACATTGCAGAAATCTGTACATCCGTTTGATCAGCAATTACCGTTAAAAATAAATTACCGTTTGTCCTCGCACGTGCAGCGACAGGTTCCCATTCGTCACGCTTTGCCTTCGCGTCAACTGTCGATGAAAAAAAGCGGAAAAAAATATAGAAGACGATTCGAATTCTCTCCCGCGGAGTGCATCGCGTGCACTTGTTCGGCATTGGATCTATTTAAATTTCCACCGGGCACACCGAGGAGGTGTAAACCGTGCGTTGGTCTTTCTTACGGTTTCTCGTTCATTTCTTCTCTCTCTTTCTCTCACACACACACTCTCTCACTTTCTTTCTTTTTTTTTACGCATCATTCGGTTTCGGCGATACCGACGACAAATACAAGACGATTCGAAAACCTGAGAGGGACTTCACCGTGGTTTCGTGCAGATGGTGGTCGGATGACGCTGGGAGGTCTGTGTTTCTCGGCAGGAGCCTGGAGTATCGACAACCACGTGTCGAGCACGTCCGACTGCATCCACGCGACGCATATTCCTTCGGCCCCACCAAATTGGATAATAAACTTCTCTTCGGCCCGTATACTCTAACGACATGCTAATTGAGTGTTACACGATACACTTAAATCGTTTCGACTAGTTTTTCGTCTAAGCCTTTTATTGCTTCTCATACCTTCGCGTCCACTTGTACCGATTTCGGCACGTTTATTATTTGATCAGCGCACCGATATTCGCAGACGATTTCGTGCGTTAAGAACAACGAATAATTTATACGAAGCAACGTAAAATGATAAAGTCGGATACGAAATTGCTAATGATTTTACTGTTGATGCGATCGCCATACAGAGTCCCTTAATGAGATACGTTTTACAATAATTCAGTAAATGACTATTTTATTTACGACTCTATATCATGACCTTTTAATTTTTTAATTTATTTTATTTGCTTCTTATCCGATCGTATGCCTAACCTATACCTTCTATTTTCTTAGTCGATCAAATTTTTTGGCAAGTTTTTCTATACCATCAGCTGATGACGAAAAACTTGATCGAATAAGAAAATAGAAGGTATAGGTTAGGTATACGATCGGATAAGAAGCAAATAAAATAAATTAAAAAATGAACAGGTCATGATATAAAGTCGTAAATAAAATAGTCGTAAATAAAATTTCAGTCATTTACTGAATTATTGTAAAACGAATCTCATTAAGGGACTCTGTATGGTGATCGGTTTTCACGCAGCAGGTTGGGGGTGTCACAAACGATTTAACTTCCGAAACCCGAGCAGAAACAGACCCACAAGTGCGGTCCTTTACGAACCGATCATGTTACGAAGCGGTTTCACCCTTTCGCTACAACCGAATCGGCCCCGCAATCGCGATAATTATCGCGTTTCCTGCCAATCAACGATACAATTGGCAACATAATAGAAGTCCTATATACATATACATATAAATATGTATGTATTTTCAAATAGAGAGACGCGTGCGTCCGAACCTTCACGAACTTCGCGTTTTCAGGGTGCTTGTCGGCAAACTATTTTTCAAGTGCCAGTTACAACTGACGTTGGGAGAGAGAGATAAGTTTCAAGATTTATTAGAATCATTACGTTGGAGCGTCAGCTTCAGCGAGAAGCAAACGCTGTAACACAACCAAACATTTGAGTCCTCTTAATTGACAATTGGCGCTCGTCCATAATTTTGAAAAACGAGTTTCCCGTAAAATCGGCAAATACCGTGGACTATTATTTCTGAATTGTGCGTAAATATAACTTTGTAAATCGTAAGCACTGTTATTAATTTACGTGCAGACTTCGCAACAGAAGGATTGAAAAACGTCTGACTGTCGTACTTGATCTTCCGCGGCTAATATTTTCTTTTACATCATTTTTTTTGTGTGCATAGTTTGTGTGCCTGTTCATTTTTTCATCGTTCGGGATATTGGCCCATTGCACTGTGATTTCTTTCACAACTTCATTCATCTCTTCGTTCGCACTTGCATTCCGAGACTTTGATATAATGGAATATATATGCAGGGTGTCTAAAAAATATCTCGCAATCCGGAAATGGAGGGTTCCTGAGATCATTTGAAGCAACTTTCTCCTTAGCGAAAATGCAAACCGCGGCTTCGTTTACGAGTTATCAACGAAAAACAGTGACCAATGGGAGGCGAGATCTGCTGGCGCGAGACAGCCGAGCCAATGAACGGAGCTGGGCTTCGCGCGCTCGTTGGCTCGGCCGCCTCGCGTCAGCAGAACTCGCTTCTTATTGGTTGGCGTTTTTCATTAATAACTCGTAAACGAAGCCGCGGTTTGCATTTTCGCTAAGGAAAAAGTTGCTTCAAATAACCTAAGGAATCCACCATTTCCAGACTGCGAGACATTTTCGGGACACCCTGTATATATATAATATATATATATTTAGTAGACAATGCGATTATGAAATCGTTATCGCGAGTCTGTCTCATTGTTGGACAAGGCATCGAAGTTGAAAGGGAAAGCGCGAAGGAAACAGAGGGAGAGAGTGAGTGAGAGAGTGAGTGAGTGAGAGAAAGAGAGGGGGGGGGGGAAGAGAAAGAAGGTGGTAGATCCACAAACAATCGGTGGAAATATGTGGGTCAAAAGTTAACGGCAATAGCGGTACCAACCACCGTTGCCTATTTATACGGTGAAGATTTTTTGTCCGCGGCCGTGTCCTAAACATCACATCCGCCGAGGTGCTTCCTCCGCGGACCGTGCTTTACCCGCGATCGTGGTTACACTGACGGAGGAAACGCAGCAGGAAAGACGGAGAAAGAACGCGAAAGGAACCACCGCTTCACTTTCAGCAGCTTCAAACATCCGCTGCACCAGCCGCCGCCAGATCTCTTTCGCCCTCTCCTTCTTTTCCCCTTTGGCTCCTGAGACGCGCCAACCACGTTTCTTCCTCTTCCTTCCTTTGATTCGCCGGGGTTGATAGGTCCCGATGGCCATTCTCGCCGACACGACGCGGCGACCACAATGGGGAACACAGTACAGTAATGTGTCCCTAATTGACGCTCAGATTATCCAGAAAGATGGACAATTTGGGAAGAGGAGATACGATTGTTCGTACCTTGCGGCTCGTTTTTATAGTTATTGACAATCCGGTAATTATAAAAACCGAGCCGCAAGGCTCGAATAATCGTGTCCCCTCTTCCCAAATTGTCTATCATAGTGCACAATTTGGGCGACAATTAGGGAGACATTACTGTAAATGTAAATTCTCCCCGATTGTCCCTCAGCTTGTAAACAGAAATCGACAATTTGTGAGGAGATACGATTATTCGAATCTCACAGATTGTTTTACGAGTGTGTAACACTTACGCCAGAGACGTGTCTTGGACTTTTAAATTCGATGGAAGTTCACTTTTACTTCAATGTCCCGTGGTCTTTCATTTCAACGACATTGGAAGCTAAAAACAGCATCAAAAACGAAGAAGACTAGCTAAACTTATGCTAATCTCCATGTACGCGAAAATACAGCGAGGCGAAACGCCAATGTCAATAGAAAATGCGATATTTAAAAAGTAGATATTTTTCCCAGTTTCAAAGGCTACCGAAAAAATCTTCTGGTTTGTATTATTATTAGATTAATTCATTTAAGTAAATTCAGCGACTGTAGACAGAAAGTCGGGAACGTTTAATATTGACACACCTGGCGGCGTTAATACACACCGTTGTGTTATAAAGGTTATGCACATAACCTTTGTGTTATAAAAACTCGCGCGTAAGTACCTCATAAAAGTAGCGCGATAATAGTCTAATTTTTAAATTGGTCATATAAATTATTGAATATTATTTTAGTTTAATTCATTGTATTTTATTCTAATCGCTTTTATTTTATTTTATTGTATGTCATGCAATGTGCAAGGAGTTGAACCACTGTGTACCCCGTCAGGAAATCGAGAAAGTTCGTTACAGAAAAAAAAACTTCGCGCACAGGCATGAAAATTCCCGATCTACGATCACAACTCGGATTTATCTAAGGATCTATATCTCGGTTTCTTGGATTCTCGGCGAGGTAAGAAATTGGACTTCGGCTCGCTTATTTGCGGTACCAGAAACGCGGCGTAAAGTGGCCGATTTTACGAGCCGAGTAAATCCGAGCCCTAGGATGATTCAGCCGATGATCCGCGGCGGAGTATCCAGCGATGCCACTAAATATCGGGTGACATCAGATGCGCAAGGCACATCTGGAGCGGGGCCCGGAGTGGACAGGCCGACCTCCATCGAGAAATGAAACAAGAAGGGGGATGTCCGTCGCGCGTGAACGGTGAGACACGTACCCACGTGCAAGGCTAGTTCTTGAATCACCAGCTGCCGATTCGCCGACGACTCCAGGAACCCTGGAGACGTACTAAAATTAGCGGCCGTGGCGGGGCACCCCCGCCTAGTCCTTACATGGCCACGTCACGGGCACACGCGCGGCTACTTTCAGACGGAGGGGAAACGTAAAAGAAAAGAAAAGAAAAAACAAACGGGAAAACAATAATAATCACCGGCACGAGTCGATCGTGCGCGAAATGTCACAGCTGGACCGAACCGGTGACCAATCGGCCCCGGACGTAAACGTTCGCTTGGTAAACCGTGTCAGCCGTCTGACCGGTGGACGGCCGACAACCGTGAAACTGTAACGTACGTTTGATTGTTTATATTCCTACTTAATTTATTTATTTAATGTCCCGTCTACTCAACAGCAATTAACGACCACTTGTGGGATTACAATTTTTGTGCGATACATACAATAATATATCACATATTATACAGTAATATACAATATAAACTTATAAACAATATATGTTACTGTAAAATATACAATACATACTTATATACAATATATGTCATTGTAATATATACAATGTAAACTTATATACAATATAATTACTGTAACATGTACGATATGAACTTGTAAAAATATATGTTACTGTAACGTATACAATATAAACTTGTAAACAATGTATACTACTGTAAAATATACAATACAAAGTTGTATACAATATATGTTACTGTAATATATACAATATAAACTTATAAATAATATACATATACTAGTCTAATGTATACAATAATGTCACAATACGTATACATGTACATGTTACACATATATGTATATTGGTATCATTATAGCTTCTGTTTCATGCACTTTTGTATATTTTCAAACGCCACTGGGGATGTTCACGTGCTCTTGCCGTGACTCACCCTGCAAACGAATGCGCCACGCGTTTGGGAAAACACGCGAAGAATTAGCAAGCTCCTGCGTCAATTTAAATCGCATGTCTCGCTTGCGTGCGCGTGTTCTAATTTATTCATAACGATTTCAATATTACGTCAATAAATTGTTCCATTCCACTGGTTCCGAGCCACTCGAGGCTGACGCGTAAAATGTTAGCACGCCCCTTTGACTTCATTTTGAGGAAGTAGCGACGCGATAGTACACGAGGGTTGAAATGTTTTGAAGCTGGGGTCTCTTGTAAGTTGTCCTATTTTATCATAGTAAAAGGCAGGAAGTTCCGGAGGACGGATTACCATCGAAGCCACATGGCCGTTCCTGCATGAATGAACGGCGTAATGAACGAACTCGCGCCATCCTACGATAAGACAACAGCCGATGTCCTTGTAAAAATCGTTACAAGTAGTCGTGACGTTGTAAGATGGGTGGTCTGCATATTCTCTAAATCACCTTCGAAAATTACATTTCGCAATAAACTCTCTTGTTGCGAATCGACTGCGGTTCTTTGTGCGAGATAAATAGTTTCTGAGTTGATGATTATGATTATTATAATGATAGCAACGTAAGTCGAATGA